TTCTGGGATCTCGACGACCACGTTCCGTGTCTGGATGCGGACTGGAAGGAGAAGGTTTTCGAGCAGATCTGCTCTGTTACCGGTGAGGTCTTTGAGGCTGCTGCACGGGGCATGATGGTGCATTTCCAGACACTGCCCAATGCCTTTGAGCTCTTCGGGGTGGATTTCTTGGTTGATAGCGCCGGTTGTGCTTGGTTGTTGGAGTTGAATGCGTTCCCGGATTTTGCGCAGACGGGAGAAGATCTGAAAGAGATTGTTGTGGGCAGATTGTTCGAGGAGACTATTGATGTGGCGGTCAAGCCGTTCTTTGGTCTAGGGGCTGGTGGACGGGGTGATTTGAAGCTGGTGGCGGACCTGGATCTGGGTCGTCGTGCCTAGACGGCTGTTTTGGTCATGCTGTACAAAGGTTTGGAGATTACAAAAATGGCATAATAGACGAAATTATTACAATGGATTTAATGTGTTTATGAGACGGTTGTTTCGTTCATGAGACGGCAACTTCCTTTCCTACAAACATAGGGCATAGAAAGCACGCCTCTTCCATCCTCTTATAATCAATGCTCTCTCACATTTCAAGTCATTAGCACGCTTGGGCGTTAGTTCAGACCAGCTCGGTGGAAGAGAGTGAGCGGATGTGGTGATTGACTGGGCACTGGAGGAGTCCGGCAAAACATTGTGCCTAGATGACTTCTGCAGACTACGTAGAGAGGAGAAGTTACAGACACAATTAATTGACAGGATGGGTGCAATTTCAACCTAGACCAATCAGCTAGAGAGCATTTCAGCACCCAAACACACGCCGAAGCATACCAGGCCAATCAGTGCCCCAACCCGTGCCCGTGTGTTGATTAGCGGATTGGTCCGCGCCCAGGGACCGACGGCTTGACTTGGTTCCTGGCGATCGCCAATTGTTGATCCTTATCATTTGCACGTGTGGTCCAATGCAACCTCTACCACTTATCGGCTCTAGCCCCGGGATGGTGGCTTGTTATGCGCGCGATGCAGTTAAAACCCAGGCCTCGCGCCTAGAAATGCGCCATGGGCACAATTCTCTCCCACCATGAAGGTCACCACTGTTGCTGTCCTGCTAGCATTTTCCGCCGCCGTCGATGCTCGACCTACGGTCGACACTCGCTATCGCTACAAGGGCCCCGCAGTGCCCATCGGCGATTGGGTCGACCGTACGATTAATGGCAATGGCAAGGGTTTCCCCCGTTTAGTCGAGCCCCCGGCTGTCAAGCCGGCCACTTCCCATCCGACCAACAATGTCAATGTGATTTCGTTGTCGTATTTGCCCGAGGGCATTCACATCCACTATCAGACGCCTTTCGGTCTAGGCGAAGCTCCGTCGGTGAAGTGGGGGACTAATCCCCGCGAGCTGCACAACCATGCAAGCGGCCATACCCACACGTAAGAGCTTCGCGCTCGTCAATCCCATCATCTATACTGACTTCACTCTAGCTATGATCGTACCCCGTCGTGCTCGCAGTTCAAGGCCATCACGCAATGCAGCCAATTCTTCCACGAAGTGTCTTTGGACCACCTCAAGTCTGGTACCACCTACTACTACCAGATCCCGGCTGCCAATGGTACCACCCAGTCTGAGGTGCTGAGCTTCAAGACGGCCCAGAAAGCCGGTGACCCGAAGGAGTTTTCCGTGGCGGTACTGAATGACATGGGCTACACCAATGCCCAGGGCACCCACAAGTACCTGACGCAGGCTGCCGACGAGGGCACCGCCTTTGCCTGGCACGGTGGTGATATCAGTTATGCCGATGACTGGTCGTCTGGGGTCATGCCCTGTGAGGATGACTGGCCCGTTTGCTACAATGGCACCAGCACCTCACTCCCTGGAGGGGTGATTACGAACGAGTACAAGAAGCCGCTGCCCAAAGGCGAGGTCCCGAACCAGGGTGGTCCTCAGGGTGGTGATATGAGCGTTCTGTACGAGTCCAACTGGGATCTCTGGCAGCAATGGATGGGCAGTGTTACCAAGAAGATTCCTTACATGGTTCTGCCTGGCAACCACGAGGCTGCCTGTGCCGAGTTCGACGGCCCTGGTAACGTTCTGACTGCTTATCTCAACGACGATATCGCCAATGGCACTGCTCCCAAGGATGGCCTCACCTACTACAGCTGCCCGCCGTCTCAGAGGTACATAAGATCTCCTGCCAACCACTAAACACCGCAAAGCCTAACCCGTCTTTTTAGGAACTTTACTGCGTACCAAAACCGTTTCTACATGCCCGGTGCCGAGACTGGCGGTGTCGGCAACTTCTGGTACTCGTTCGACTACGGTCTGGCCCACTTCGTTTCCATCGACGGCGAGACGGACTTTGCCTACAGCCCCGAGTGGTCCTTTGCAGAGGATGTCTCCGGCGACGAGACTCTGCCCACTGAGTCGGAGACTTTTGTCACTGACAGTGGTCCATTCGGAGCTGTTGAGGGTAGCGTGAAGGACACCAAGTCCTATGCTCAGTACAAGTGGCTGAAGAAGGATCTCGCCAGCGTGGACCGCAAGAAGACCCCGTGGGTGATTGTCATGAGCCACCGTCCGATGTACAGCTCCGCCTATTCCTCCTACATGAAGAATATTCGCGCGGCATTCGAGGATCTCCTGCTCGAGTATGGTGTTGACGCCTATCTTTCCGGGTAAGTTTTCCTTTCCCTATGCCTCCAGAGGACCTATTAACTTATAATCTTACCCATCAGTCACATCCACTGGTACGAGCGCTTATATCCTCTCGGCACAAATGGTACCATCGACACGGCCTCTATCGTGAACAAGAACACCTACCGTACCAACGCCGGCAAGTCCATGACCCACATCGTCAACGGTATGGCAGGCAACATCGAGAGCCACAGCGAGCTCAGCAGCGGCCAGAGCCTGACCAACATCACTGCTGTTCTCAACACGAAGGAGTATGGATTCAGCAAGATGACCGTTGTGAACTCCACTGCTCTGAAGTGGGAGTACATTCGCGGTAACGATGGCTCTGTTGGCGACTCGCTCTGGTTACTTAAGCCGTGCAGTGAGCACGAGACTCACGGCAAGAAGCCTACTCCTCATCACGGCGGGAAGTCTCATCCTGTAGTTTAATACATAGTTCGGAGCCTATGTCAACGGGGAAAGATGAAGCTGATACCTATCAACTCCAACGGAGCAAACTAGGCAGGCTTCTCGACAAAACATTGATATTTCTGAGTAACTAGTTCTTGATCAGACAAAGAATTTATTTAACTAAGGACAACAAATCTGGAGAAGGGAGAAAAAGAGGAGAGCTACGGCTGCAGCCTCCAAAAGTTAACTGCTAGTAAGCTCGTAGGGGTAAAAGTATCTAGGTCTTCTTCCATATCGCTGACGAAAGCCTGATATATACACAGCAAAACCATCCTCGGTATAAATGCTTCATAATCAATATGATATGTCATGATTTCCAAAAGATCCGTCCCTCAAAGAGCCTGCGCGCGGTGCGAAACACCGTCGCAGACGCCAACCCGCCATCTGCCTTGAACTCAGCACCAACCAGCAGGTTGCCACTGGCATGACCGATCGTGATCCCCGCTCCATCTACGGGTGTCTTGCCTGCAACAACATCCGCCACCGTACTCCCCTCCACCCGCGCCGCAGCGGCCAGCGCCAAGGCGACGGTGATGGGCACTGCCTTGTGCGGCTGGCCCACGGAGAGAGCACGGGCGAGGAGATCGACCTCCGCAGGCGTCTGCTTTAGCTCTTTTGAGACACTGGTCTGTGAAGGGGATGAGACGAGACTGATTTTGGGGATACTGCCTGGAACAGCGGTGGGTGTCTCTGCTAGACCCATCTTCACCCCAGCCTGGCGGCGGATAGAATCTAACCGGGACAGGAGGGTTGGGTGTGCTGAGATGTCGTCTGGAGTAAGGTTTCCGTCCACGTCGAGGTCTTGCGCTCGGACGAAAACGCAGGGGTTGGCGACGTCGATACATGTCGCTCTGACGCCGTCGAAGACGTCCGTCACGCTGCCGGTCGGTAACAATGTCCCTGTCGCCGAGCCGGCTGGATCAATGAAATCGAGCTGCACGCGCGCAGCGGTGCCAGCGACTCCATCTATGGCGAAATCGCCACTAGAAGCCGCTTCGCCATCGACAACAGGAAACGAGGAACGAATGATCTTGCCCGAGTTGGTGTTATGGATGCGCACTGAGACTGAGTCGGGGCTGTTCTCTGGCAACGCAAAGAGCCGGTAATCAACGGCAAAGGGACCAACGGCACTGCTCATGTTGCCGCAGTTGCTAGAGTAGTCGACGTCGCTATTTTTGATCCCCAGCGAGACAAAGGTGTAGTCGACATCAGCGTCCGGGTGCGTCGACGGGCCCACCACGCACACCTTGGACAAGCTACTGATGCCTCCGCCGAGGCCGTCCAGCTGCCGGCCATAGGGATCGGGGCTGCCAATCACCCCGCGGAGAATGGGGGCCCAGTCGGCGCGGTTGGCAGGCAGATCTTCTTGCTTGAAGAAGACGGCCCGCGAGGTGCCGCCTCGGTAATAAGCTGCGGGGAGAGCGTGCTGTTTTTGAATGGGTTGAGTGTGCATTGAGCGTCTGAAGGAGGTCAATAATGGGAACTTCGGGTTGCAGAGATTCCGTCGCAACATGGTGAACCTGACAGAGGAGAAGTGTTGTTTCCCCACGTCGGTAGAAGAATGCCCCCCACGCGTAGAGGCTAACTCTATAACTCGAAGGTTTTATACTCATCCTAACTAGGCGCAATGAATAATAGCCCAGAGCTGATATTTCTTCCTGATCTTCCACTGAGACTTAGTATTACTGTGTTCCCGGCGACGGTGATCATTTTGATTCATCGGCATAGATTGTGGGAAGGAGTTTTGTCCCAATGGATTGAATGGGTTGGAAAAGTCCCTGTCTATCAGGAGTTGGCTGACGGATCTATCTTGTACGCTACATATAGTGGTCTTTTGGCCTGGTTGGGTAGTACGTGCGTGGATGCAGTCCTCACTATCTCAACCAAACCGCTGCTTCGCCAATGTCTGAAGCCAGGACATAGTCTCCTGTTCCTTCTCGCGATACTTCTGCACCCGTTCTTCCCGCTCTGCCGCGCGAGCTCGAAGGATTTCCTCTCGCCGGATCTCTCGCTCATTCTTCTTCCGCTTCTCGTTCTCTTTCTCTTTTCTCAACGAAGCCAGATCATTGTCCCCCGCGCCCATGAGCTCTTCGTCCCGCGCACCTTCGGGTGACCCGCCACGAGCCTCGGCAAATGACTTGTTGGCAGCAGCCAGTTCCCTGCGCTTCTCGAGCTGCCTCTCCCGTGTTCCGGGTTCGGCGCGAGGTGCAACCTCATCTTCTAGGTTGCGCACAGCGGATCTGTGCGAGCGTATTTCGGCGCGGAGCTGTTGTCGTGACTCGTCGCGTGCGGCAATGGCGTCTTCCATAGCGGATTCTGCAACTACATGAGTGAATTGGCCAGTCACTAGATGGTTGTGGTCTTACCTCTCTTCAGCTCAAGATCTTGCATGTTTGGGATCGTAGGACCAGAATGTGGTGCACCCCGTCCATATCGACCTTCCAACCCAGAATGTGGGAGAGCCGGTCCGTAATCTTCGTCCTCGTCATCCTCGCCCGCTGGGCGTTCCGGGGCCTCCGTACCGCCCTTTGTATAATCAGAAGATGCGGCTCGACCTCTGCTCGGACCCGGCATCGGCTGTTCGGCGGCGCTCTTGCGTGCCTTGTCCAGCGTAGCAGGGTCGTACCAGCCCTCGGCGAGTTCTCCACGGTTCCTAAATTTATCAGAGATTGGTTAGGTAGAGAGTCTGGAGCCTTCTTACCATTTTCCCACAAAGCTTTTCCATCGCCCCTTCACCTCTTCCTCCGTTAGGTCTTCAAGAAAGATTCCCTTCTGGATATCCAAGTACATGGCAAACATAGGCTCGTAGACTTGCAAGTCGCGTCTGGACAACTCGCGAGCTTGGAGCGGGAGGATCACGGGCTCCGTGGGTTTCGCGGGTTCTTTGTCCCGTCTTCCATGACGGTCTCGATCGCGCTCACGGTCTCGGTCATGACGATGCCGGTGGCGATCTCGGTGGTGTCGGTGAGATCGGTGTGGGGAGCGCGAGCGCGAGCTGTCTCGGTGGTGTCGGTGGCGGTTATGACTGCGGTGATGGCGACGGTCTGGGTCTGCGGTGGTCTGTGGGGACGGATGGGGAGGTGAAGAGGGATTGGGTGAAGGCATCGTGTCGCAGTGGTGGTGGTGAGAAGCACAAGTTGAGAAACTTGGCGGCTGGATCGATGCGCAAGACTTCTTATCTTATCGTCAGCCTAGACAGCCATGAGTTAGTTATTGCCTGCTGAACTGCCCAATATTTGTCCAGACTACTGTTCGTGGCTCTTTTTTATCATCTATGTTCTACAGATTTTGACAAGCAAAACCCCTTTTCTATTCGTAAAAATGATACTTCAATTCCGTTGTTGTGAATACACCAAAGAGAAAAAGCGAAAGAATATACATCCAGTCTCTTAGCTGGGAGGAGCGGTTTGCTCACTGGTGCTGGTCGCATTGTCAGCGCCCGTAGCCGGAGTCGACTGCGAGGAGCTCTTGGACCGGTTAGCGGCGGCCATCTGCCACGCCGGGATAGAGGCAGAGCGTCCGAGTTGCGAGAGAGGGTTGTTGGCGGCGGGAGCAGGGGCAGGGGTTGCGTTGGAGCTTGCTGGAGGGGCCGCTGCTGGAGGGGCCGCCGCTGGCGCTGGCGCTGGCGCCGGTGATTCATCCTCGACGGACGCAGGCGCGCCGTTCGTGACAGGGTTCTCGGACTGGGAGGACCCGGCAGGTCTACCAGCAGCCGGGGTGCTGGCAGCACTGCCACCCAATCGGTTACCCAGAAGGACTTTCAAGCTCTTCAGCTCACTTCCTAGTTCCTTCAACCGGTTCTCGTTGCCTTCGCGAGCACCTTCCAGAGCCTTGGGGATAGCATCCTTCAGCGACTTCACCTCATCGCTGATACGGCGTGTTTCATCGTCTCTCCGACGTGACGAGTTCTTCAATTCAGCCACGACACTTTCCACGTCTTTCAGGGCCGAGTCAAGGCGCTCGGTCCGGGCGTCCTCGGCTTCCTTCAATGCTGTGGTATCGGTCGAGAGCTGCTCAATCAGCGCGAATGCGCGAGAAAATTGTTCATCGATGTTTTCCTTGTCCTGTTCCAGCTGAGGCGGGGTCGGTGGTGCAATCAGAGGCTTGATATACCGCTGGAGCAATATTAGTATCCGGCGAGCTTTGGGCATTGAAGAGAGGCATACATTGGCGACAAAATACATCCCATATCCCACACCTCCCATCACTGTTGCCATGATAAACCAGTCGCGCCAGTCTCTCTTTGGCGGCCTTTTTGAGGTCATTAGCTTCAGACTCGGGGTAACACTGGGATCCGACGTACTCTGGTGGCGGCTGCCATTGACCGTATGGAGGATAGCCATATCCTTGGGGTGGTTGTGATGATGGTCGGTAGGCAACTTGCTGCGAGGAGTAGCCCTGCGGTGATGATGCTGTAGCGGTGGCGGCGACAGAGGGGTCCTCGCCGGCCCGAGCCAAGGCAATGTCGACTTCTTCCTGCGTCAGGTTCTTGGATTGCAAGAACGCGACTCTCTTCTCAACAGGCGACGAGGCGACCGACGGATCCTGTAAGACTAGACGAGGTTAGCACTCCCACCACCATGCGACGTTCCGGATATTGGTCCATACAGGTAACCTGGGCGCGCACATGTTAGCATCAAGCCGAAAGCGGGTACAGCATTGGGAGAACACTTACCGCGGAGGAAATTAGCTCCTCGCGCGGAGCCATAGTGGTCGAGGGTTGATTTCAACTCCGTCAACTCCAGCGCGTGAAGGGATAAAGTCGAGAGTGTGTCCACGAAGAAGATGGCTGGGGGAATCACTATCGGCAAACGCCGCTGGACCTCGGGACTGTTTCCCCAGGCCGAGTGATCCCGTGATTCTGCTGCCGGTCGAATAGTTTTCCCGGTTTGGCACACCGCCTGCTGGAAAGGGAAGTGGCACGCTCTTGTTTACAATCGCTCCTTTGCCCCCCAATAATAATCGTCACCCCATCAACCCTCGTGTGCCTCGCAGACTCCCTCCCACCCCATTCCTTCGGGCTTTTTATTTGCGCGATAGTCTTCCGTTTGGTGTCGTGTATTGCATCTCCACGACTGTTTGAGTTGGATTTTCCCATCCGCCGCAATCGCGGCGCGTGCTGTCACCATGTCGCAAGATACTGGTTTGTTTAGCATCAGGCGCCCTCGAGAAGTACGAAATCCCCCTCTGGCTCGCACGAGAATGTCTAACAATCGAACCCGGCACAGACTCTCGGGAGTGTCCAAAACTTATCCGCAATCCCGCAGCCCGCATCCGCCATGAAACGCACCAGTTCCATTGGATTTCAGAACCCACCGTTTACGTCGCAACACACGCGCTCGACTTCGCTGCTTAACTCCACGAGCAGGCCGCAGCAACCAAACTTTGCGAGGGCTTCTTCCGGGGGGTTCGGTCAGGATGCAGGGCTCTCGTCTGTCCGTCGTTCCGTGTCGAGTAACATGCTCCACGGTTCCAGCGCGGGTCGGCAGAGCTACGCGCCTGGATCGGCCTCCAACTCTGCATCTCAGAATATTCAGCGCAGAAGCAGTGTGTTTTCGCGACCGTCGACCGGAAACGGGGGCCCTATGGGCCACCAGTCATTCTTCACCCAAGTCCCTCCCGCAGCAGGCGTCCCGAGAGACCCGCGACCATTGAGGGATCGCTCATTCCAGACACGCATTGGACAGGAGTTACTGGAGTACTTGAGTCATAACAACTTTGAGTTGGAAATGAAGCATTCCCTTGGTCAGAACACTCTTCGCTCGCCGACTCAAAAGGATTTCAATTATATCTTCCAGTGGCTCTATCATCGTATTGATCCGGGATACAAGTTCTTGAAGAGTATGGACTCCGAAGTGCCGCCGATTTTGAAGCAGCTGCGGTACCCTTACGAAAAGGGCATTACAAAATCGCAAATCGCGGCCGTGGGTGGCCAGAACTGGTCGACATTCCTCGGCATGTTGCATTGGTTGATGCAGTTGGCACAGATGATGGACCGCTTTGTTATGGGAGATTACGATGACGCTTGCGCCGAAGCGGGTGTCGATGTCACCGGGGACCGAATCATCTATCGTTTCCTCACCGGTGCCTATCATGACTGGCTCCAAGGGGGAGAAGACGAGGATGATGAAATTGCCGAGAAACGACTGGTTCCGCACATTGAAAACATGTCCGAGGAGTTTGCGCGAGGCAACGAGCGATACGAACAGGAGATGGCCGCGTTGGAAGCAGAGAATCGCAATCTCCGCGATCAGATTGAGGATATGGAGAAGAACGCACCCGACGTGGCCAAATTGGACAAGACCTACCGGATTTTGGAAGGTGACAAGAAGAAATTTGAGGAGTACAACCAGACCGTCAAAGGGAAAATTGAAAAGTATGAAAGCCGCATCAAATTATTGGATGAGGAGATCCAGAAAACCGACATAGATCTCCGGGCGACCGAGAAAGATCGTTCCGAGCTCCAAGCAAGCGTGGATCGGCAAGGCATCACCATCCAGGATATCGACCGCATGAATACGGAACGCGAGCGTCTCCAGCGAAGTCTTGAAGACACCATGGCTCGTTTGGAGGAAACCCATGCCCGTGTCATGGAGAAGGAGGCCGAGGCGAGTCAGAAACTTGAGGATCTAGAGCAGATTGTCAAGGCATACAATACACTAGGCTACCAGACGAGTTTGATTCCCTCGTCTGCCGAGAACGCCAAGGGTCAAGATTACGAGCTCAGTCTCCATGTCAATGAGAACAGCTTCTCCCGGTCCCAGGTTGGCGGCGATCCCAACCGGATCTCGTCGGATGGGGATCGTCTGCTGGCCGAGCCTTTCATTGGCTACCATCCGGCTCATTTGTTGAATCTGGATCTCCGGGGCAGCATCCGCAACAGTCTGCAGTCCCTGCGGAAGGAGATCAATGAACGGCGGAAGCGCGGCATCGATGACGATCTCGACCGTCGGAATCTGCTCGATAACATCAAAGAGGCCATGGACGAGAAGCGGAGCGAGGTTGAAGCGCTCGAGCACCGGCGTCGTGCTGCGGAGGAGGAATTTGAGCGAACGAAAGAAATCACCACTACGCAGAAGACGGCCTCGGACGCGCAGATTGAGAAAATGGAGAAGGAATTGGCCAAGATGCGGGCTACGCTGAGCGATAGTGTGCAATTAATGGAGCAGCGTGAGATGAACACCAATATCGAGTACGAGCAGCTCACGCTCCGAGCGAATGCACTACGCGAGGAACTGCACACCAATGTCGAGAATATGCTGAACGATGTAATCCGCTTCAAGGTCCATGTGCAAAAGGGATTGGAGGACTACGAGAGCTTTGTGGTCGATGAAGTGGAGCAAGAACTGGGCGGCGATGCCCAATTATCGGAAGATGTGGCCATGGAGCCGTGAGCGTTGAGTTTTGTCTCATGATTGATGATACTCTTTTTTCGTGCTTTCTTACTCGGACTATATGGAGTTCTTGCGTGCCGGTGTACAATAATACCCCAGTAATCCATCCCTCTTATTAATGTGGAAGATGCGAAACGAAAAGCCCCCTCGTCAGGATGAGTAAGTAAGGGAAGTGAAGATCGTCGTTCTCCACCGGAGGAATAACCATGTTTATTGATCCCACGCAGCCAAAGATCGACAGGGATCGGTGGAGCATGCGTGTCCCTGGTTTCACGTCACAGCGTCTTTGCTTTAGCCGAAACATCACTCCCTTTGCTGATCCTCTCAACCACCTTCTCGATTCTGTCGGCCGGAGACTCCACCGGCATCGACCCAACGCCAATTAATTGATTTTTTGTTGGCCACGCCGTCCAGTCTATGATCCACCATGATGCTGATCCACCCTGGATGAGGCGCTCAATTCTTCCGTCCCGCCTTATCAGGCGATCGTCGGATAGAGAACAATTAACTGCCGCCTGCTAGACTGACGAATATCCGCTCTGGACCAAACTTTTGGACATTGATCTTCTTTTTCTTTCCCTCTCTCGTCTCCGTGACGGAGACCACGCGGTGACGACTCCGTAAGAGCGTCTCGCTTCTCTCTGACCCATCAATCCTGCGGTGATAAGAAACAAGAATAATGGGGCTCTGGATACGGTATAAAAACTTTCCCTGCCCTACGATTTTTCCTCCCACCCCATAGTGCTGTGCACATACTGTCTCCTTTTTGGACATATCTACTTTCCACTCCTTTATTTCCTACTCAATCATCATGAAGTTCTCCGCTATCCTCGCCGCTGCCGCCTGTGGCCTTGCCCCGGTTGCTGCGTTCCGCCTGCCTGTGAGTACTTTGCACCAAAATACCTCAGCCATCTGCTAACTGACTTTCAGCTGAACCACGGCACTTCCACGGGCTCTTTGACCTCTTTGCCCTCGCCCACCGGCCCTGCTCCTTCCAGCTGGTCGACTGCTAGCGTGCCGATTCCCACTGGCACCGGCTCCCCCTACCCTAGCGGAGGATTCCCCAATTACCCTCCCCCTCCCTTCCCGTACTCGTCGGGCTCGTCTTCGTCTTCGGTCGCCACGCCCACCGGCACTCCCACCAGTGCTGCCCGTAAGGGTGGAGTCTGGCGCGAGCACCCGCGCCAGATCAAGCCTGTCCAGGCTTAGATGGGACCCAATCGCCTTCGTTTAGATTGATTTCTTTCTATGGCTGCTGGATCAGTTGTATAGGGATGTGTACTTTCTTTTAAATCCATTAATTCCTTAGATCCTGCAAAGAGTTCGCTTTTATACTTCAATAGAATGTAACTAGTACTTACTTAACTATGGAGGTTGACGCTTATTTTAAGGTATCCAGTACTTACACAATCAACACCCCCTGATTGGTCCATGGCGATGAGTCAGCACCAGACATTTTGCGGTGCTTCAACTTCTTCTCCCGTTCTTTATTATTCCGGCGCTCGTCTCTCTCCTTTACTGTCTCCTGGTATGCCTGGTGCGTGACCGACCGCGATATGTGTCATACCAGGCCCGCGGCGTTCCTCGAGTTCCTTGTACCACAAACACCTTTCAGGTCATGAAAAGGTGTTTGAACTCCGGCCGCCTCCTCCGATATGGCCGCAGACTATCCTCTCCTCTGATTGCAAGACGCTCGATATCGGACGGACCCGACGCGCAGAAAGTCACAAAATACACTCTCGCTGAAGCCAACAACCTCTTTGCCCGGTATAAACCTGATCACAAGCTTTATCCACCAATATCCCGAAAGCGTCAACAATTTTTAGAGCACTGGATTCCATGCCTGGAAAAATGCCTGCCTCCTCCGTCGCAAGCGGGCGCCAAACAGGCACACCAGGTAGGCAGTTCACTTGAAGTATTCAAAGAGGATTTTGATCGGGTTTCTTCGTTGGCGGGATGGATGAATCGCTTCAGAGAGCGATTCCAGCTGGATCCGCTGGTGCATATGGGTTTCAACTTGGACAAATGGGAAGCGGTGCATGCTATGTTGAACGATCTTGTGGATGCTCATGAGCTGCTGGTTCCTTACATGAACGCTCCACAGGCTTCGAATCTTGATTGGAGCTTGGGTTCGGGGGAATCGCTTGACGACATGACTTCAGTCGCAAGCCATCAATCGCTTAACGTCGTCGCCCCAGACACGACGACCTCCCTCCACGCTTTAACCTGGCCACCCACCGTGAAGGTGTTTTCACATGTCCTCATGGCGGAGGTCTGGCAGACTCTTGGGTCTTTGGTTCTGGAAGCTGCAGATCGGTCTCCGAAGGAATCCCAGCTTGCCATGTCCTATGTCTTCCGGATCCTTGCACGGTTACATCACTCGGGCTTGATCTCTGAGCGGGTGTACCAATATCATGATCCTGATACTAGCCTGCATGCCTTTCGCCCACCAACGCTGCATTTGCTGTCGGGCCATATCATGAGTGTTCTTTCTGATGCAGCGTGGTTGGAGCATCAAGCTGCTGTGGCTGCCAGGGCAGCAGAGACTGGGGAAGAATCACCGTATCTGCCCTTCAAAATGGGAGTTCGAGAACTCGGTCCGGAGATTTGGTTCGAGCTCATCTTGTGGTGTTGTGTGGAGCATGGATTTCCCACAGAAGGGGCATGGTTGGTGAAACAGATGATGGCGCGGAACGAATGCTGGAAGGTCGAAAGCTGGGCGCCTCTATTGAGGGATTTTGACATCGTCCGGCAAACAAACATTGGCACAGAACAGTTCTGGCGCCGTCCGAGTCGTGACACCGTCTCTCGAAGTCAAGACAAACCACCGTTCCGTGGGCTATGGGGGCGGACGATCAGCACTGAAGTGGTTGCTTCTCTCCGAAATGGCCTGATTCACAACGCGTTTAATGAGATAGGCACCAAGGGGTGCGGTATCACGCGGCTTCTTCAACTTTCATCCCATCTTGATTCCTTGATCGATCCCACCAAGTCTGCGCATGATCTTCGACCTACGACTAAAGCCACGAATTGGCATACGGTTCAACTCCTTGAGAGCGGGGCAATTGATCCCGAAAACGACCCTGCCAGTCTCGAGCGAATCTTACGGTTACATAATGAAGTTGTGCCAGCATGGGATGGCGACGAGTTGACCATGGTGCAGCATCTGGCTGGCATGACAAGAGCTCAATTTTACAATGATTCAGCGGCCGTGGTTGGGTTGGTCGAACTCAACATTAGGGCTTATGCCAGGGATTGTCTGACAACAAGCGTGTTTCACCAATATGCTTGGTTGCAGAATATTGTGGATGCCAGCACAGTGCGCCGCACGGAAACATTTTTCGAGCAACTCAAGCAGTCGGGCACCGAACAGGTCCCGTTCTTCGACTCCCGGCATTTTCCCTCGCCTAAATCGTCCCTTTCACAGGTGTCAAATGTCACTCATGCCGCAATACTTGAGCTGGCTACCACTTCTCGGGCCTTTGACTTTGGCAACTGGCTGCTCTTCTCGGATGACGTGGATGGTCCTCCGATTCCCCCCAGTGCTTATGGCGAGCAAGTTCTAACACCATCGCTTCTCCGTTTTGCCGCTGCCACCCAAAATTCACAGCTTGGTCATCAAGTCCTCCGTTCTGTCCAAATGCCCTTCCGTCTCAACACTCTCAAGGCTGTACTTGACTATGAGATTTCAGTGGGTGACTGGGACCGCGTGGTTCAGATGTTCCAACATATCAGAGACCGCAAAGCAAAGTCCTGGGGTTACAGTAATCTCGCTACTCTCGCCGCTGCAATCATCAGACGGGACGCCTCCATCTTGCACAAGGAGTCTCAAGGAATTGCCGTCAGCGAGGAAGAGAGGCACAGTCTGGCACAAGCTCGGGATATCCTCCTCCGTCTTTTCAGTGGCGAATTTAATTCGCCCGAGGGCAGAAACGATACAAACCGCTTTCAACAGAGGGCCATCTATAGCATGTACAGTCTGCTATCGTCTCTTCCAGGCTCTTTCCGAGAACTCTTCAAGTCGGCCAGTCTCCAGTACGTCCCCGTCAAGTCGGAAACGATCGGTTACATCCCCACTGTTTCTTTCAACGTCCTCCTCGCCGCCATTGTGGATGGGTATGGCTGTTATTCCGGCAAAGGAGTTTATAGCAGGTGGTGTCGGTACCCCCACAGGGGCGTCGACAACGGCACTGCTGACCTAGAATTTGCTCGGGAGCGCAATCATCTACAAGGTGGTGCGCACGTCGATCCAAAATGGCACGCCAGTGTCCATAATAGACTTGTCATCCCAAACCTCGACACCACCCGCATCATCGCGCAGGCCGCGATCAGGGAGTTGGAGGTCTTAACAGACGATTCGACTCCCGACATGCTAAATCCTCTTCGTTTCTACAAGGTCAAGCCCAATACAGTCTACCGCACCACCCGAGAGTGGGGAAAACCTCCCAAGACAGTGCCAGAGGGTGTCCTCGATTTTTGCGTCGAAATGTTCTTGCGCGAGGGTCTGGCCGAACACGAAATCGACCGTGAAACCAATGGTCATGTTGCGCGCATGCGTGAGAGGAAAGCCATCTGGCCCTCCGCGTTGCAGCACAATAATGCCCTAAGTCATGCGCTCGACCATGGCGTGGGCGATTGGTATAGTCCTGTTGGAGGGTGGCCTGTTCGTCCGCCAGAGGAGGTGTTTGTGCGAGAGTGACAGCCTCGCCAAGACGAACCCGTTCAGCCGGCCCCTGGGCTTGACGAGACAGACCAGGTCCGGCTGGAGAATTGAGACTGGTTGGGAATGTTTTGTGTATAAATAACTGCATTGATATCCATAGAGTGTATATACCCCATGATAATTGTATAGTATAATTTGAACCTGTTCATGACACACCTGTGCTACTCACTCTCCGAATTTCTCAATCCACAGTAAGTATTGGCTCAAGGACTTGTTCTACATACGGTCCTAGTGCATCTGAAATAAACCAAAAAACCTGATTGATGAGATTATGTTCACATGCTTCGACATTGGAAACTAACTCGACTGGTCGATATATATTTGCGGCGCGTAGGTCCAAGCACAACCCCTCCGCCCCATATCTCCGACCACTCAATTCTTAGCTATCAATTTCTTTTTGTAGTAATATTCCATCGGGGCTATGTACGATCGTCACGGCCTGCATCTGCCCCAGGAATTCTCTTTTCAATTGATACGAAGAGTAAATAATCGAGGCACACAGGAACTGGCTAGGCCAGATGGTTAACTTGCCTAAGGTTTCCACAGAGTTTTGGAGAGGAAGTTTTCCAGAATCTCTAAACCCAATCTTCTTCTTTCACATGTATTACGAGGTGGCTGCTGCGGGGGAATACACCGCGCGGAGTTGGGACGGAGTTGCGAACCAAGCGTTTGTGATGACATCAGGGGGCCGGGGAGGATAACCAAGGACTCGTACTTATCCTCTGACCTAACTCACTAACAGCTGAATGCAGGTCCAGACTCTGTGGAGATGCGGAGAAATCCTACCCGCTGCATGCTGTAGGATCCGTGCAATAAGACAGATGAATGATGGGTTGTAGGGTCCATCCATCGCGTCTCTCCGCCACTGTCTCTACGTAGATATTCGCTTTCGGCCGAAGTCGAACAATGGCACAGTGGTTTCCATGGTTCCGCGACATCGGATTGACGATGTCATCGGAGATCGCGACATAGCTCACTATGCGATGGCCCGGTAACCACGCTGGAATGTGAATCATGTCGAGCCCGTGCCTCGCCCAGTCATGCTCCTACCCGGTGGCTTGTCTCAATAACCAATCCCTTGCTGCGGGCGCTGACAGTCCATTTGCATGTACAATGTGTACGAGGTACTCTATCAATAAGAGGGACTTGTTATGCTCGGCATGTGCACAGGACCAGACTCGGGTGCCTCTGGTGCCGCCATTGTATGTATGGGCTGGTATGTATGATCCTTCCAACGAAAGGATGAGCAAGGATGCTGGCCCCGAGATGGCTGGTCATCATAGCGAGGCTTCCTTCGCCTCCGCACACTCTAGCAACCACCACATCATAGGTGAGCTAGATGCAATGTATGGAATAGTGAATCTGACGCCTCCTATCGGTACCGCCGTCCGCTGTGTCCAAGCATGCGGATAGCCGCATCACCAGTGGCGAGGTTCTTCCTTTTCCTTCCGTGTTGTGTAATAAACAATACACCCGACATACGCGGGTGGACCCACTCGCTATGTCTTTCTTGGTTCCTAAACGGCGACGCTAGGGGATCATGTTTTAGGGAGGCCAAAACAATAGTTTTGGAGTTCGTCATGATGAGCACTGTCAGAGCAGATCTCTGAGGATCCCAGGAAACCAGCGGTCAACTTGTCCTGCCATTAGCCGAGGGTTGCTGGCTGGATGTATACCAGTCTGCCTAGCAACGATTTGACAGATCGAATGCAAGTTTCATGCATCCCGGGCTACCCGTAGCGCTTGCCAATCAGGGCGATCGGGGGGTCGACTTATTTTTCACCTTGACGGGCGATGATTGGGATAGGGCCCGGCGATGGAGCCGCCCAGTGGATTTTTCGCTGGCGAAAAAACACATGGAGACCCAATTTTGCCCCCCCCGTCTGGAATGCGCTATCCATTCCAATGCTCCACCGGCATTTGCGAGGGTGTGTGGCTGTTGTGGCCATCGACCTCATGATAGTCATCATGATGCCGCAGAGCCCTACATGCAGGCGGGACAGTAGTGAATGGGGCCATTAGACAATCAATCAATAATTCTGGCGGTGTGTGTGAAGTAGAAAAGATTAGTTCGTTAGTTCGGCCGTCCAACGGGAAAATGAAACAGACTGGTAATACCATTACCACAAAAAAAAAAAAAAAAAAAAAAAAAAAAAAAGAGGAGGAATCCACCGAGAGATTCCTCAGTGCAGCTCTCATTCAGTCGCATCTCGATAACCCTTCCTCTCTTCCCTCCCACCCCCTTCCCCTTTATCCTCATCTTCATTATTATTATTATTGGTGCTTCTTTTTTCCTTCTTCTATCTATATCCCTTTTATTATTATCTTCCTTGTTTCATCTCTATCCATCGTCTCTCCTTTGAATAGTGAATCTCCCCTGGTTCCTACTGCTCTCCTGCTTTCCCGCCTCCCGGTCCCCAACCGACATCATCATCACCACCAGCACCCATCCCCTCCATCACAATATGCCGTACAACACTCGGCGCAAGTCGCTATCACTCCCATCTCTGGGCATCCACCTCCCTAATTCCTCCCGCCGCTCTCCGTCCTTCTCCAAGTCGCACGCGACCGACGATCTTCCCCCGTCAAAAAAGGTCAAGAGGTCGCACGACTCAGGCTCCCTGTCGCCCGAGCCGTCCCCATCCTCGACCCACGACTACAAGAACTCCACAGCCATGCGCGCAATCCGGCGCACCGCTTACGAGCATACACCGCCGCCGTCGCCCATGGACGGGGTTGCGCCCAAGATCGACACCGAAGGCATCAACGACGATATCGTTGTCGCCGCCATTGATCAACTGGAGAAAACGGGGAATCGCCCACACCTGGTGAAGGAGCTGGCTGCAGTACTCATCACATTGAATGCGAACGTCGCCAAGTATGTTTTTAGATCTTCTCCGTTGCGAAATTCACGTGCTAATCTTCTCTCCAGTTCTGTGAATCCCGCTGCCCTGCTCTCGTCGCGGCTGGCCGCGTATATGAAGCGCCCCTGGACAGCGCTCGCTCCTTGTCCTGTCGCTAAAGAGCTCATTCCCATTCATCCGCGCAAGGTGTACTACTATCTCACGACCTGCCCTCGGCAACCGATCCCGGAGAACTCGGACGATCTGTTGGTCATCGTGGACGGCAAGAACATCACTCCCAGTGTATCCAGCCTGGATGACGAAGACGATGTCATGGCGCGGGAGCGTAGCCCCAGCCCTGAAGTCGACCTGTCTTCCCCTGACTTTGAAGAAGGGGAGGATTCCTCCGCCTCTTCTGCCGACTCTATCTTCGATAAACATACGCGCCTGATGCATTCGAACCGTGCGGCTTCCCCACCCCTGGAGGGTGACGAGAAGGAATTTACACAGACGGCCAGCGCAGTGCGCGAGCGCGCATCCGAGGAAAAAGCTAACCGGACTGACCGTAGCCTTTCCGTGCTGTCGGAGGAACTCAGCGCGATGGAAGACTCGCGCGACTCCCCTGTTGACGGTGGATCGCTCTCGCCGGCTGAGCGCATGTCCGAGGAAGAATACAGCGACTACTTTACTCACATGACGGACATGCCGGAACACTCGGATGAGGCCGCTGCCACCGCACTGTTTGGTACCTCGCCGTCGCCATCGCTCACTTCGGTTGCATCGTCGCTCTCGTCTGGCTCGAGCACAGTCGCCGATGCCGAGACACCCGTGGCACAGATCAGCCTTCCCGAGGCTCCTGTGTCGACACTGAAGCGGTCCTTGGATATGCTGAACAGCGAGCTCTCGGAAGTGGACTTGAAGATGTCCGATCTGACCGAGTCGCATGAGAAGCTGTCCCTGCACCCCCGGACCGAGTCCTTCTTTGACTCGTGGCGGGAGCTTCAGAACCCCGAGTCCGTCGAAATGGACGAACTCGACGAGATGTTTGGAGAAATCTAAATCCCTTTTCACCCTCGCCACTCTTGATACCTTTCACCCTTTACATCATTTTATTTTGGTTTTGGATCTACCTGTTCTTCTTGCGCGCTTTGGACTCCCCTGTACATGTCTCTCCTCCTCTTTTCGCCGACTAAATCTCCTGTACATATACGCATTTTGGTGGTTTCTGGCCCTGAATGGGCAAAAAGTGGAGCGCCTTTCCTTGATCTTTGCAATACAGCTTTGGTTGAACCAATTATTGACCCCTTGTCACCGGAGAATGCATCCATGGACCGGGACTTGTTACCTAAGCCATCCTAAACTCAGTAGTTGACGCTGAACTGTTCTTCCCGCCACTTCGACCTCATCTCATTCAGTTTTATCTTGTTTTGATTGTGCCCGAGTGAAGAATCAGATGTTGACCGTGTAGCACTCCCCTTTTGTGCCGCATCGTTTGTCCTCCGCACACCACGGCCCAAGGGTGCTAGATCACCCGATTGCGTCACCCCATCTAGATTCGCAATTTACTTCCGCTCGAAGAATTTTCTCAGCAACATCCTCTGTTGTCCGGACTCCCGCCAAACAAACCGCTACCATGACAAGAGAAGGCCCGCTCCGTCACGCTCCGGGTGAAGGCGTGGCCTCGCAGCGCGAACTGCCGCCGGCCCCGCCAGAACGCGAAAACGTCCTTGCCACCTCGAATCCCCCTTCCATCGCCTCAACACAAACTGCGAGAACAGCCAATGACAGCACGAGAGGCCAAGCGGCGTCGAATGCGAAAGTAGCGATCCCTCGTCAGCGTGCCGGTATCGCCCCGCGATTCAATCGTCGGGTACCCCGCGCCTGCGAATCGTGCAGACAGCGCAAGACAAAATGCAGTGGTGATACTCCGGTTTGTCGACAATGTCGCGAGTTGAGGGTCACTTGTCAGTACCCCGTGGGTTGGAAGGAGAGAACCAAAAAGTAAGGCGCACGTTCTGTTAAAAAAAAAAAAAAAAGGGAAAAGAGCCGCAAGCTAACCTGGCCCCTAGGCAGGTAGAAAGGCTGTCGGAGAAAGCGGCAGACTATGAGAATCTCTTGAAGGACTTGGGAAGCATGGTCGAAACCAAGGCCGCTGAGCGGATCAAGATTTTGTTGGATAAGGTGCAATTTTCCGTCCCTCCGCGTCCAAAGTCCTATACTAACAAGAAACAGTACGGCTCGGAACCGGATTACTCTTCAAACAGCAACCCGTCTCATTCGGTCACCCCCCAAGACGTCATGGACGCAGCAGGAGACGAACCTTCTTCCCCGTCATCCATCGGATCCCTGGAGGCCATCGACCGGGTAGAAGAGGACCTGAACAGAGATGAAAACACCCGAGCGACGGGTTACCTGGGCAAAAATTCGGAGATCACTTGGATGCAGCGGGTGCAGCAAGAGGCAGAGCAACGTGCCCAAGGCAAATCAGGCAGGAAGTCGCCTACCAAAACCGACCAGAACCCAGACGGTGATTTTACTCTGCATACAGTCAACTACCATCTGGATGACATGGACATCTCTGCTCCTGGACCGGTGCAAACATATTACATGCCGCCTCGCCAGCTGGCGGATCAGTTGTTTGAGGATTATTTGAACACTGTCCATCCATTCTTCCCCATCATCAATCGGCCATTATTCTGGGCGCAATACCAGACCTTCTATGATTCTGCTGCTCGTCCCGGTGACAAGTGGCTGGCCATCCTGAATATGATCTTTGCTATTTCTGCAAAACATGCTCACCTCATGGATGCGCCGTGGCGTGGAGATTCCCACGACCATCTGGTGTATTTGACTCGAGCACGGATTCTCAGCATGAATGGCGATGTCCTTTTCAGTCATCCTGATCTCCAACAGGTTCAGGTCGAGGGTTTGATTGCTTTCTATCTGCTCTCATCTGATCAGATTAACCGGTAAGTCATGTCGAGTCAATTGACTGAACACATTCTAAACCCGTATAGGGCATGGAGGATCTCGGCTTTGGCGGTGCGATCTGCAATCACACTTGGTATCAATATGAAGAATAGCAGCACCTCGACCCCGAACGTTTCCAAGGAGGCTCGCTATCGGGTCTGGTGGTGTCTGTACACATTCGAACACACCTTGGGCATCATGACCGGCCGTGCCACATGTATTCAGGATGGCGTGTGTACCTCGCCGTTACCACTGCCCTTCGACGAAGATCAACTAGACGAGCCAGCAGCTGCCGAAGTTCTCAATGACTCGACTCTTCGTGATGATCGCATCAACAGCGTGATGGCCAGTTCGTGGATTCGACACATGCCGCTCAACCCGGCAAATGGTAGAGAGGCCACTAAAGAACGATCCCCGGAATCCGGGTGGCTTCTGAATCTCCCGGTATCTCTCGGGCTTGTCTACCTCTATTATTGCGATCTGACAGTGGTCGCTCAAGAGATCGTCAACAGGGTATATTCTGTGGATTGCGTGATGGTCCCATGGCCGCAGATGGAGAATCGGATCGGTGAACTGAAAGCCAGAATCGATTTGTGGTATTCTCTTCTCCCTCCCGCTCTTGACTTCACCCGCAAGGAGGATGAAGGCGCGGATCTTCTTCGTGGGAAACTGTCCCTGGCCTTCCATTACTACAGCGCTCGCATCTCGCTTGGACGTCCCTGCCTCTGCCAGCGCGACGCGGCCCAGAAAAGTCCCACCCAAAAACCGACTTTCAGCCACGAAATGGCCGTGATTAGTCTCGAGTCTGCCACACGCATGCTTGACCTCATCCCCGATGAGCCGAACGCCGTCCAGCTGTACCAGATCTGCCCGTGGTGGTGCATTCTGCATTACCTCATGCAGGCGGCAACGGTACTACTTCTGGAGCTATCATTCGCCTGCATTCATGTGCCCAGCGAAGAAGCGAACTTCATCCAGATGGCCAAAAAATCCATCCGGTGGCTTTACGCCATGTCTCACCAGAGCGTCGCTTCCCGCCGTGCATGGCAGCTCTGTGACGTCGGTCTGCGAAGACTGGCCGTGGGAATGAAACTGGATGTCAGCGATATGCCCTCGGACAAGTATCAAACCGAACTCGAAATCCCCCAGAACGCCACTCGATCGGAAGATATCAGCCATCAGCAGCCGCCTCCTCAATCTGGTGATTTCTGGGGTCCGCATGTGGAGTCTCAGATGCCCATGGAGCAGGACTATTTGACCTACCCCGCCATGTCAACATCGGAGCTGTTGTCCTCGCTGACTACCGAGGCGCAGTCTGGCGGTAGTTATTTCCCCTATGACCCCATCGGCGGGGAGTTTATCCGGTCTTTCTTCCCTGACAGTACCGAGGATGGACACAACTGGCAATGAATGATGAAAACACAAACAAATGAAAACGAGTCTCCTTTTTGTTTTGGTTTCTTTTGGGGTTTGGTTTGGTTTATAATACTTTACCATTTCCTTCATCTCTTATGTTTTGTTTTCTCCGAAAAACACATTTGTGATACCAGTTTTGAATTTTCTTATTCATCCCTCAGAAATCTGCCCTGGTGGCGGATTCGTGTTTTCGTGCAGGCGTTCTTTTTACAGCGGGGAGCCTTGGCTACTTTCGATATGGTTTTACAAACATAGGGTTTTGGGATTTGGGATATGGAGTTTTGACTTACAATTGGAAAGAAAAGTGGAATCGGTACTATAGCCAATTTGTACACAACTATTTTTGTGTTGCCACATCCTTCAAACGCACCTCCCTCCGTCACCTAAATCCTCACTCATAAAACACGCTTCATCACTAGCCAGGAACAGACACGCGCTGACTACATCTGATGCCTCAGCTCCACAGCCCATAGGAACCACAGCCTCGAACTGCGCCCTATTCTCATCCGTGTTTTTCTTGCCCATAAAATGGGAGCTCCTGTAACGCACATTAGTGGTAGATCTAAAACGGAGAGTGACCGTGAAGCTTACAAACGAGTATGGCCTCCAAACCCCGGACACACAGAGTTGAAGCGAATCCCCCGCGATGCATATTCAACCGCCATGTTCTTCGTCGCCAGCATAGCTGCTGCCTTGCTGGCATTGTACCAAACGAGACATGGCCGAGGCCGAATACCACCCGTCGAACCAATTGTGATGAATTTTCCTTTTCCCTTTTTGAGGAAGTAAGGCACGATCACGCAGGTTGAGCGGTGGGTTATTTGCATACCTACCAATAATCCACTTTCCGAAACCCGCGGGGAGCCATTGTCCGCAATGTGGGGGGAATGGAGGCTCCATCTAAACGAAGAATCTAATATAGAAACTGTTCTATACGTATGCCTGGCATGTCTGACTGGTTGTAGCTTGTAGGCTAAATAATCCCGATTGACCATAATCGGGCCTATATTTCAATGCTAGTTAGTGTGTTCTCGTCATTCGAGTTGCTCATACTTATAAGAGACTATATCTTTATCATCATAAATATAACACGTTTAATAATTAAGTACTAAGAATCGAGTCTAAGATAGAGGACATGGCTACATTCATAGAAATCCTAATGGACGTCAACAACCTCGGGAAGAGACTCTCCGAACTATTTTTTGTGAGGACCACCAGCCCCAAATTTCAGACTTTAAAGCTGTCCATAGAAGCTACTGTTAACCATTGTGATTTTGATTCGATTTCAGAATACTCATGCCATAGCACCTGCTTTGGCGAGGGTAACAATGGCCACTCAACAGCCTGGTAAATCGAAGGTAATGGATGCAAGCTCTCTCAGCTACAGTTACAGCTAGTTGACAAACCACTTCTGACTTAGCCAAATATTTTCCTTTGCGTTTTGGCAGGATCGACAGCCGGTGCTATTGAAATCGGTAGGAAACCCGTCCCTCGTTGGTAGGTATCTCGGGGTCAATATTGACAAAGCACAGCCATAACGTATCCGTTCGAGTTCGCCAAAACACGATCCCAACTAAATCGGCATCTTCCAAACTCAAAGAAGCTTCCCTGGCCTCCTTTTCCTTCGAAAGAATGGTACGCCGGTTGCACAACGCTAATTGCCGGAAATGCCTTGAAAGCTGCGATTCGTAAGTCGACTGGGCATGTTTTTCATGAATCACTCATCAATCTCACACAAGATAAAAACAGGGTTTACCGTATTTGATAGCATCAAGAGCCTTTTGTCCGACGAGCACGGCCAGATTAGCGGATCTCGGACGATGGTAGCTGGCTTCACAGCTGGTATTGCCGAGTCTGTTTTCGCGGTTACGCCCTTTGAGAGCATCAAGACACAGCTGATTGAGGATCGGAAGCGTCCACAGCCACGAATGAACGGGTTCATCCATGGAACAAGAGTGATTGCGTCCGAACAGGGAATTCGAGGGTTCTTTAAAGGGCTTGTCCCTTCGACTGCGCGGCAAGGCGCGAACAGCGCAGTCAGGTTCACCTCCTATACCACGCTGAAGAAGTACGCAGAGAGGGTGTTTCCTTCTAATGAGAATGGAAAACTGGGTACAATAGGTACCTTCGCTGTTGGTGGACTTGCTGGTATTATCACGGTGTAAGATGCTATTCTTGACTTTGGTATTGCTCAGCGGCTGACTCTGCCTGGACAATAGATACGCAACTATGCCATTGGATGTGATCAAGACTCGCATGCAAAGCTTAGAGGCTCGTCGTAATTATGCAAACTCTGTTTCCTGTGCGGTGCGCATATTCAGACAGGAGGGTATCTTGACTTTCTGGTCTGGAGCACTTCCCCGGCTAGGTCGGCTATCACTGAGCGGAGCTATTGTTTTCACTGTGTATGACCAATATCTGAAATTCCTAACTTATGTGGGATTCACTGACTGACTTTCCTGACAGATACGAGAAGATGATGGGGATGTTCAAGCAGTTGGAAACCCGACCTCTCGTGAGCAAAGCAGCGGGAGGAGTATAGTATCTTGCCCGTCTAGAACATGTATAGAATTGTTACAATTTAAGACTTTGAATTTTCTTGCAAGCTCTTGCGATGCGAAAGTCGTAGACAGTCAGTTTTGAAACGATCGGAATTTAAGAAAAGAAACCCGTCAAGCCAAGCATAGGTATAAGGTATTCTTCGTCCCAGTTTGAGAAGCTAGTTAGCCTACGCTGTATACTCCGCCGTCGGCCCGGCACTGGGGCCGATCTCTGCCCAATGGGAAAACACGCGCATTGACATCCCCGTCTTTCCCCACTCGGCAACGGAGGGTCGCCCTCGGAGAGTGAATCTCCAGCTCGGAACATGGAAATCCGGCGATGATTACCCCATCTTAAGAGCTACTGCCACCTCTGAGGCAGAAAACCACCACTGCTTCCTAAAATAGCTGCACCTTGGACCCATCTTCTCCTGTTCATGACGGCTTTTCCTTTCTTAACACCTAGATTATTCATTCGTCGCGTGTCAAATATCACCAAAATGCCTGCCCTGAAAAAGAGCATTCCGTATGAGGTATCCTATAAGCCAGCCTCACTTGATAAATCACAGACTCTAATATGGTCTGCAGTTCAAAGACCCTTCGCTCGTGGAAACCCGTGCCTATGTAGGCGGGAAATGGATAGAGGCCACCTCTGGCAAAACTTTCCCAGTTTTTGGTAAGGATCCTCCTAAAAGCTCCTGTTTGAGCTTTCAATATGAAAAACAAAGCTAACTAGGCCCTCAAGATCCCGAGGATGACAAGGAAATCATCCAAGTCACCGACATGGACCGTGAGGACGCGCGCTCTGCCATCGAAGTCGCCCAAAAAACATTTGAGACCTATAAACGCATGGGTCACCGCGAGCGACGCTTTCTCATGCGGCGCTGGGGAGATCTGATCAAGGGAAATAGAGAAGACCTCGCGGCGCTGTGTACCGTGGAGTTGGGCAAGCCTTTCACCGAGTCTCTGGGGTCGGTCCAATACGCTATCGACTTCGTGGATTGGTTCGAATCGGCCGTGGAAAGGACTGCGGGAGAGACCATCCCTGCTTTCCGGGGCAATAATAGGATTTTGACTATCCGAGAGCCGCAGGGTGTCGTCGCTGCAATCACCCCGTGGAACTCGCCTTTGGCTATGGTCACTCGCAAGGTGGGAGCGGCGATTGCAGCGGGTAACACGGTTGTGTGCAAGCCTGCCCCGGAAACCCCTCTTTGTGCACTCGCGCTAGCCAAGCTGTTTGAGAGAGCTGGCGGTCCAGCCGGGGTGTTCAACGTTGTTCCCTGTGGTCCGGAGAACACCCCGGGGATTGGGGAAGAAATGTGTCACAACAAGCTCATCAAGCATCTTAGCTTCACTGGATCCACGGCTGTTGGAAAGTACTTGAATACGGAATGTGCCAAGACTATCAAGAAGACCAGTTTGGAGCTTGGTGGCAATGCTCCTTTCATTGTCTTCGAGGACGCTGATCTAGAGAAGGCGGCTCAGGGTAAGCCTTGCTTCCTTCTTGTCCTAGGTGGGAAATTTTCGTACTCATGGCTGACTATTTGAAGGACTGGTTACATCAAAGTACCGATCATCAGGCCAGACTTGTGTCTGCGCTAATCGAGTATTCGTTCACGCCTCAGTCATAGATCGTTTCGCCGATGTGCTCCGAGCCTGTATCGACAAGACATTCGTTTACGGGTCCGTGTGGGACCGAAAGGTAAACTTCGGCCCTTTGTACTGCGGTAAGGGTATTGCCAAAGTCAAGGACCATCTTCAGGACGCAGTTCAAAAAGGGGCGAAGATTCACTCAGGCGGAGCTTCCGACACGGATGGTCCGAACTTTGTCCGCCCCACCGTCGTCACTGGAACGAAGGCAGGAATGACGTTCCTGGGCGAAGAGACATTTGGACCGGCGGCCTTTTTGGTTGCCTTTGAGACTGAACAGGAGGCCATTGATATGGCAAACGACTCGGATGTCGGACTTGCTGGCTATTTCTACACGGAGGATATCTCACGCGTCTTCCGAGTGAGCGAGGCCCTGAAGGTCGGCATGGTCGGTGCTCGTGTTGGACTGATTAGCGCCGCCGAACAACCATTCGGAGGCGTCCGTGAAAGTGGTCTTGGTCGGGAAGGAGGACTTGCTGCGCTGGAGGAGTATTTGGATGTCAAGAGCATCACCATTGGGATTTAAAAACCTCAAGGGCCATTTTAATTGCATACGACACGTTCGAGTTACTTTACAGATGCAGGACTAAAGATTTTCTGATAGCTGAATTCAGTTACTTTCTGCTTATATTTTTTGCCATACCATTATCAACCATAAATTCGGCCCCCGAGGGTGGCGGGGATTACGCGTAACATCGGACTTTGGGGCGAGGTGCGGGGATGGGCTTCTGGGGGGATTGACAACCGAATCCGGGGTGCACTAGCAACCCACACAGTTTCGTGTGGGCCGAAACTCAGCGCGGCAGTGGTGCTATATGAACCGGCCGGAGAGACAACTTCCGATCTACTCTTCAATCCTTCCTTGCCTTCGGATCCCATACCCCCAGCGCCTGACAAAGATAGACAGGCCAGATGTCTTCGAAGTCACCGAAATCAAACTCGGGCCACCCCAAAATTATTGCCCGGGCATGTCTTCTCTGCCGTAGCCGAAAAATCCGGTGTGATACGGCTAGGCCGCGTTGTACCGCGTGCGCCAGCCAGAATCGAGAATGCGTCTACCACTTTGAGGCGCCGCGGAAAAGGTTAGCCTAAAAATCTTCATCTATCGAGAGCGCCTCGGCGTAACATGTGTTTAGACCAACGCTTGCCCAAATCAATGAATTGCAGCAAGAGCGATCTTCCCTCCAGTCCTTCATAACAGCTCTCAAGAATGCATCTGCAGACGAACGAGATGCTCTACTTTCGTCGACCTCGATAGAGAGTGAACTCTTCGAGGCGTCACCAGAAGAGACGAGTCGACATTCAAAGGCATTGATCGACAGAAATCTTCCCAGACAACCTCCGCGCCGCAGTAGTTTAATGAGTGTGATTGACTCTGACGATGAAGATCTGGACGTGACACAGTTCATTTCCATCGACGAAGCGGGCAACCCGAGTACTTTTGGTCCCTCGTCGGCACTACATGTTCCCACTCATGGAGAGCAAGTCCTGCCCTCCACGCAAAGCCAAACATTGGAACATAGGAGGAACAGCCTAATTGCAAATGCAGCTTTGCAACGACAGTCAGAGCATGAATTTTCTCGATTCACTGATATTGCGGGCGTGCCAACACAGCTCGCGCTGCATCTGTTAAATGTGCATTGGTCTCGACAGCATCACACATTCCTCTTGACATACCGTCCCGCGATTATGCGCGATCTGAAGACAGGCGGCCCATACTCATCGCCTTTTCTGCTTAATGCCATATTTGCTTGCTCCAGCAAGTTCTCAGAACAAATGCAGCACCAAGACAACCCCTTCTTCATTGCTTGCGACAGGCTACTTGCCGAGCAAGGTCTGCTCATGAACCCCAGCATTCCTACGGTTGTGGGACTCGTGCTTCTCGGATCGACATACAATGCACGCGGGGATATCTCCAAGGCATGGCTGTTCACCGGGTACGGTCTGCGCATGGCATATGACTTGGGGCTTCACCTCGATCCCCAGGAGACAACTGATAATGCCGAAGAGATCGAAATCCGCCGACGTGTCTTCTGGGGCATCTTTATCTGCGACAAACTACAGAGTCTATATCTAGGACGACCAGTTGGTCTTCACCTTCGTGATACCCGTGTCTCCCGTGACTTTCTCGACACTTTCGAAGAAAAAGACGTTTTCCAGTCCTCTGCGCCATGTTCCTCGCCAATATATTCGGTTTCTGTTTTTCGACAGATGTGCTCACTGTCAAAAATTATGGCTGTCATCATCGATCGGTTTTATGTGGTGGGCGCCACATTCTCCAATGCCCATTCTAGCCAACAAATGGTCGAAGCTGCTTTGGAAAAGTGGAAGCAAAACCTTCCCCCGGAGTTGGACTTCCAAGTCCAAGACGAGAATCCCAGTTCGTATCCAGCACCCAACGTGATGAACTTGCATGGCATCTACCATTCCCTTATTATTTTGCTGCACCGGCCGTTTATCTCAGATGGTCATCTCCGCTCGAGAACTGTACCACAACACTCTTGGGTCCTATGCACTGCGGCGGCGCAGATGATCTCCCATATTGCCGAATCCTACAAAGCGGCATATGGCCTCTCCAAAGCACCTTACATCCTCAGCTACGCCATTTACGTTGCGTGTACGATCCACGTACGAAATGCTGCCGGAGAAATAACAGGAAGTTACGATCATGTTTCGCTCCTGCGAGCGGGACTTGAGTGTCTTGACATCATGTGCCAGGCCAATCCTGGAATCAGACGCCCCGTGAGCATCATTCGTAGGCTCATTACAGCAAACAAGATCAATCTGGATATTGGTGAGTTTTCCCTATGCCCACACCACGAAGGCATTATCTAACATAAGTAGATCACGCAATGATACCTACTACCCAGTCGATGCTCCCATTTGACCTGGAAATGATCTTCAGTACATTTCCGGATATTGATGCAAGCGGGATCTCGGGTACAGGTAATCAGGGTGGCGCCTTGGACATCGATGTCCCCCTAGATCCGTTGTTTGGGTTCATGGATGGCCCCGTAATTCCTTTTGGTGATATGTCTAGCCCAGGAGGTGCTTTTATAACGGATAATTCTGTGATGTAGAATTCAGTGCATCTTGGATTATTAATATTAATTCTTTAGTGATTATAATTTCTATCTGTAGATAGTGCCACGGACTTTGCAAAGTGTCAGATACTCCGATCTGGGGTATACTCTCCTAGTTACAAGACCATCCGCTGAATAACACAGTAAGCTAGCGGAGAGTGACCATCCGAAAAGCGACGGTGCGGGGGATGACCGAGGTTGTTCTATACTTCTACAGCTTACTCTACTCCACATTGACAAAAGAACCACACTGAACGTCACAAACAGAGTGGACCTAGCCAGAACTGATTAGACACGAAGCAAATATTATAATTAGCTATCCCCGCTGCTCCCATTGACAAGTCTACATCAACCTCGACTCTTCTTGACTTCCACAACACTGTTAACCCCTCATACCCCTCAATCAAATCCAACACATAATGGGCAAGCTTTCTGGCAAAGTTGCGCTAGTCACAGGCGCTGGCTCTGGATTTGGTGAATCCATTGCGCACAGCTACGTCGCCGAAGGCGCAAACGTGCTGGTTGCCGACGTTGCAGTCGAAAACGGCAAGCGCGTGGCCTCTGAAATCACGGCGAAGAACTACCCCTCGGGAGGAAAAGCGGTCTTTGTTGAGTGCAATGTGATCAAAAAGGCGGACTGGCAAGCCGCTTTAGATCTTGCTGTGAAGCAGTTTGGCCAACTGGATATCGTCGTGAATAATGCGGGCACCACATACATCAAGCAGGAGAGTATGGGGGTGACTGAAGAGGATTTTGACAAGGTTATGACTGTGAATACGAAGAGCATCTACTGGAGTGTTGCGGTCGTTATGCCTTATTTTGTGGAGCGCAAATCCGGCGTCTACCTCAATACCTCGTCCGTTGCCGGGACGCGAGTGCGTCCTGGACAGGTATGGTACGGCGCAAGCAAGGCCTGGGTTAATCGGGTAGGTTTTCCATTTTACTCCATAAAGAAGCTATCACTAATTCTGGTATCTAGATTACGCAGGGTCTCGCTGCGGAGTATGGTCCTTACGGAATTCGAATCAACTCAGTGTGTCCCGTGCGTGGCACCACGGCGCTGCTGGAGAAGTTCAGCGGGGTTCCCGATTCCGCCGAGGAGCGCGCTCGTTTCGCCAAAACTGTGCCTTTGGGCCGCCAGTCGGAGCCTGAGGATGTTGCCAAGTCGGCCGTTTTCCTTGCATGCGACGATTCTTCATTCATTAGCGGAACCAATCTCGCCGTTGATGGAGGCCGTCTGGCTGTCTAGGCAATAAATACTTGGCACGATGCTCATGAGATGGAATTAGATGTGTAATATCTGTTATACGTGATTTTTACTAGATTAGTTTCATGCAGGTTAGCCGCGCAGATAGACGCGGTATGAAATATGAGAATCGTCGGACATTCACATTCCGTTATCTCTCAGACAGAAGACAAAATGCCTCGGTATCGGACAGGGATCCGACTTAGGATCGGCCATAAGATAAAAATGTAGGTCCCGCCCGCCAGATATGTAGTACCCATCCTCAATCATGTCCTCAGCACTTAAGAGCAGCGGAACCGTCCGCCTGCAAAGGTTGGAGGGCGGCTACCTGGATTTGCCCATGCACCTTTTCGTGAAAGGAGCCTCGACAGAAACTATCCGTCGAGTCCCATCGATGTGCTGGTTAATCACGCATGAACCCTCCCAGACAAAAATCGTTTTCGACCTCGGTGTACGCAAAGATATTGAGAATTATCCACCAGCCGTCCACGAGCGACTGAAGACAGTAATTATAACAGACGTTCAGCAAGATTCCATTGCCAGTCTTGAAAAAGCGGGGATAAACCCACAGTCCGACGTGGACAGTGTGATCATTTCGCACCTGCACTGGGACCATATTGGAGACCCGTCTGGATTCGGCCCGCGCACTCGCTTTATTATCGGCCCCGGAGCAAAGACCTTGATTGAAGGAAAAGATGCATACCCCACAAATAAGGCGGGCCATTTCGACTCCAATGCGCTGCCTCATGAACGCACGGAGGAGCTTCCGCCTTCGTCTGAGACATCATACTGGACTAGCCTAGAGCCGTTCTCTGCAGTGCATGACTGGTTTGGTGATGGGTCAATGTATGTGGTAAATGCTCCTGGCCATCTACCAGGGCATCTGAATCTCCTACTTCATACGGGGTCGGACAAGTGGGTATATCTGGCTGCGGACTCGACCCATGATCCAGCCATCTTGAGTGGATCAGCCGAAACAGCGATATACACCGATCCGCACACGGGTTTATTTAAATGTGCCCATGCAAATAAAGAGACGGCAGATATTCATCTTGGCTTGGTGAGAAAGCTTAAGGAGCTGATGCCTGTGGAGGTTATCTTAGCGCATGATCATTCCTGGTTGGAGGCCAATACTGATCGGTTTAAGAGCTAGATACCATTTTGCTAGATGTTATAACGAGTCTCTGCTAGCATTTTGATGTTATATGCTGATTTACGCCGGCCCCATTTGAATCGGATCAGGGCATCGTTCATCACGTGATTGTCTTTTACACTGATGGCGATGAGCATTGGAGAACTTGAACGCATTGACTGCACTGTATGGAATGGGGAGAGTATATGCTAAGCAAAAATAATAAGAACGTGTACGTAAGTCATCAATATCGGTGTTCAGCGGCATAACCGAGAGCCCAGCACCTGAGCATCCTCATCGCAGCCAACTTCCGAGACAGGCAACTAGCAAAGTGTGTACAGCGAGTAGTTAGATCAAAAGCAGAAAATCATACAGGCAAAATCGTAGGTAGCATGAAAGAGAAACTAATTTGCAGATGGTCAGTGACTGGATTCACCGATGCAAGCAGTAAATGCCTTACCATCCATCCCATTTAAGAAATCCCAGTCTGTCAGACGCAATGAAACCAATCGTTCTAGACCTCCCAGGAAGAAGTGGAAAGAGGGAAACTGTTCTTAACCACCTCCTCCACCGCCGCCGCATCCGCCGCCGCCTCCGCCGCCGCCGCCGCCGCATCCGCCGCCACCTCCTCCACATCCACCAAATCCGCCCCCTCCGCCTCCTCCGCAACCACCACCTGCTGCTCCTGCACAAGCTGCGCCTCCTACGGCTCCACCTCCTGCGCATGCAGCACCGGCGCATCCGGCACCTGCGCCTATGCCACCACAGCCTCCTGCAGCAACAGCTCCACCGCAGGTCCCAGCAGCGCAATTGCCGGTAGCCCCAGAGGCAAGGCTCATGCAGCTTGGATTGCAAGCGTAGGAGGCAGAGTTGACACCGGGGTCACACATGTATGGACCGTAGTAGGGGACCATCATAGGGTAGCCCCAGGCGTATGGGTAGTAGTACATCGGCCCGTAGCCGCCATCCCCTGCTGACCTCGAATCGCTGCGAGGACGACCGCGTTTCTCAGCCCGACGCGCGGATTTCTCGTACCACTGTTGAAGACGGATCCTCTGTAGCCGACCGGCTCTGTCGTCCAAGGTACTGTCAGCTTTCGGGCGAACGGCGTTGTGGGCTGAGATATGCGGGTTCTTGTCCGGATCAGACGAGACATCCGGGTTGTCATGTAGGGAATCAGCGGCGCGACGGGCCCGCGAAGATGAACCAATGGCAAACATCCGGTCGTACAGATCTGGTGCTCGGGTCGCCTCGCAGTACCAGCAGGTGCATTCGCTATAGATCCCGCCATTGGTGGCGCGTCGGTACATCCTGCTGGTCCATTCAAAGCCCTCGGAGAGCTTATTCTCATCGACCTTGTCGTCATGGTCGATGAAGCGACGGGCATTTTTGGTACCGCGGGTTGTGCTCATGGTGTAGTATCTCGATGGCGCCAGCTGGTGGGTATGCCAGGCCAAATCGACGTCCAAGGTAGGCACAGCCATATTCCGCGGATGATCCATCATGATTCCGAAAAAGACCATATACTTTGCAATAGTCCGTTCGGCAGTGTCCATTACGGTGGGCGAATGCAACCAGTCGATGTTGTCCATTTTCTGCACAAACGTTCCCTGGCGGATCACCGCACCCACCAGGTCCAGCGCGAAAGGACCCAGGTTATCCCAGTACCGCGACATCATTCGTCGGAAATGCACCTTCTCTGCCGGACGCAGAATGGGTAAAGTCGAACCACATGTCTGTAACAAGACGCTCTTTTCGGTCAGCTTGCTTTCTAGGAATGTTCGCAAATCGTCAATGCTTTTGCACTGGCGAAGTCGCGCATCAGTAGTGGCTAGTAACTCATTCGCTGTTGCCTTTATCAACCGGTTTGCAAACATCATATTTTGATGGGTTAAGTCGCGAGATATGATATTAGCATGAGGCGGTCTCCCGGAATTAGTATGAGGCGGTCCTTCCGGGAGACCGTTGATGTTGTAGAACGTTCCAGGCATGGGAAGGTTCTTGTTTAGAAGGGCTTCGGCATCATTGCGGAACTTGGCCACTTTGAGGAGGTCGTGGTTGATGATTAACTTGCACCTATTGCAAGTAGTTTCGAACGAGTTGTCAGCGTAGCCTCGGGCATCCTTAAAGGCGTCCTTGGACGTAGGCCCCATGTCTCCTGTCGTCCACGGGACAAGATTCACCGAAGAGCAGGCGGGACACTGTATTTCTTTGTTGGGTGGATCATCTAGATTGTCCCAATTCACCTGGACCTGCTGTTCAAACAGGCGCTGGGGCTGCTCGCTGATGGTATATTCCATCGTACGGTCATTGATGCAGCGGTTGATTGGATCCCATGGAAATCCAGTCACCCAGGTACTCATCTTGCCATACCGGATACAGTCTTCAAGAAAGTTCCGGGGGTTCAGCATGTGGGAATGCCACACCATCAACACATCTAACCAAATCAGTAAAGTTTCCCTGCCATGCCATCATCTCTTACTCACCGATAGGGGGGAGGTTGCTGACATCCCAAGCTACGAGGGTCGTGCATCTTGTAGTTTGGTTTTCATAGTCCTCTCGCTCGACGTCTGTCATGGTGAACGGTGCATGTGAGCTGGGAAGGCCAACTTGCCACCATTTGGTATATCGGTCAACTGCACGGGCAGTATACACGGCCCAGCGCTTTTCACGGATCCGGGCTTGGGCTTCCGCCTTGGCTTCCTCACTTAAAAGCTCGGCCGCGGCATCGGAGATTCCAAAGAGACCATCTTTGTTGGAGATCGTATCTCGCAAGTCGGCCAGAACGGTCAAAAGTTTGAGATGAGCGACAACTTGGTCGGTGCTGACAGCGTAGAAGAGAGGATCTCGGAGCTGTCTGGTGAGATCCAGCCGGGGCAGTTCAAGAGAGAGTCGCTGCTCCTGAGAGTACGATGGCGGACCGTCACTGGAGGAATCACCCTTGTCCCTTGCGGGAGCCTCTTTGGGCGGAGAATCCTTCTTCGTCAAGAGACCCATGGCTACGATGAAGGTTTGATGTATGAGACAAAAATTTCAACTAGACTGAGGGTGCCGTCGTACGTTTATATAGGGCTGTCTGACGTCGAGGATGCTGATCATGACAGGGGGGAACCTCGGCCCCCGCCACGACGTCGACACGTTCAAAGGTTGCAGACCGTGAAGGCTAATTGAGGCTTGTAAAACGCCCTGCTGGTATCGTGCGGCGCCAAGAGCACGTCGGTAGGAGAGACTGATCGGTCGTCGTTGCTAAGCCTTGCTTGGAATGTTGTCAAGGCTTCTAGGCGAACTCGCTACATTTCCCCGAAGAAGGCTAAATCCTTGGCGCAAGTCTAAGGGCCGCCGATTGTAGCGACGATAAAGCCGGTTATTGGTGGGGAGAGAGCGAGGCGGAGCCGGGCGTAGACTTGTATTGGGGGTCTGCCACTGCACAGCCCCCAAACTGACCAAATCCCCGCAGCAAAAGATGATTTCATCCGGGGGCTATGGATCGAACCATGTCAGGTCAGCAACCCGACCCATGAAACGCCAAGTTTCATGGGTCTGGCTATACTTCCAGGGTCACCTGATAACTAGGTCAGGTGACCCGTTCACACGTGATCCGATCGGGCCGCGGGGTCACGCCAGCGCTGAGTCACTTTTTATGGCACGAGATTTGACACTCGCTGCTCTGCTCACCACCTTCCTTGATAAGTGACTCGGGGTGACAGAACCAGGCATCGGCAGACTCACTAGCCACCGCCGTCGGGCAATTCCAGCAGGCTGTTCCACCTGCGGCCGAAAACTTGAACCCGATTGCATCATCCGCCATCCAGCACATCGCGTGGGGGATAGCGCATCGAAGCTCTTGACCTCGAGTACAGCCCGAGAATGCGTTGGATGTCACCGGTCCCGTAATGGCGGGTGTCAATCATGCGCCGGTCCCAGTGGGTGCCGATGGCGTCCAGGGTCGCAAGCGCAATGTCACCATTGCGGGGATGGAGAGCTCCCCAGGAAGCATTGAAGACGTAGATGACAGCGATCTGCGTGAAGATAAGAGAAGACAGCCGGTCAAGCGTGCCTGCAACGAATGTCGCCAACAAAAGGTGCGTCCCGATACTGATGTGACGTGATGCCCCCGCAGATTAGACCATATGCGCCACCGGGACTGGATGCCTTCTTCAAACGTCTCTCGCTAACTTCAATGTGCCATAACAGCTACGATGCGACGTCATTCAAGACCCCTGGTCCGACTGCTCACGGTGTCGCCGGTTAAAGCTAGACTGCAAAATTGAGTCCAATTTCAAACGAGTTGGGAAGCGCAGCCGCAATGCGGAGATGGAACGCGAGATTATGGAGCTTAGGAAGCAGATTGCTTCCTCGAGTGCACCTATTACACCACAGCAACAGCAACAGCTGATGGGTGCAGGACAGATGACACCCAAGCAGGACTCCAGCCAAGTGAGTCCGGCGGGCGTCTATCAGACCCCATCAGCCATGTCCACGGCCGCGGATCAATACATGGGATCCCAGGAAGCTGTTGCATCACTTTTGGATCTGCGCTCCGGATATGACGGCTCCAACTATATGAGGAACGGAGGTACCCAGTTCAAGCGCATTGAAGACGTCACCGTCATACCGGAGAAAGTGACAGAGCTGTTCAACCTGTAAGCTTCTTTATTACCTTATGCCCATCCTGCACCGTTCCAACTGTTTCTCCAGGTTCTTCATGTTCTATCATCCGTTCCTCCCATTCCTCGATCGCAAACTGTCTCCGGATGATTATTATAACGCCTCGCCATTACTTTTTTGGACAATCATTAGCGTTGGTGCGCGACGCTACCAAAGCGATTCAACTTTGCTGAACTCTCTTTCGGGCCCTGTTACACGACTTGTGTGGAGCACACTAGCGGACATTCCCCAGAGCTACCATGTTGTGAAAGCGCTCTGCCTGCTTTGCTCCTGGCCTTTCCCCACAAGCAGTACATCCACCGACCCGACCTTCATGCTGTGCGGAATGATGGTTCAGGTAGCGATGCAGCTCGGTCTTCATCGCCCATCGCATACCCAGGACTTCAGCAAGTTCCGGGTGGAACTTATTGAGGAGGAGTTGAGAGACAAAGTGCGGACGTGGGCTATTTGCAACATTGTTGCTCAGCGAGTGTCCACTGGCTATGGTCAGCCGCCATCTACCCTTTATGACTGGACGTTGTCCAGTGATTCAGCCGATCCAAATTTCAAACTGCCAGGGGATATCAAGCCCAAGCTTGAGATTGAACGTTTCTGTGACAAGATTACTAGAGCATTATACAACAACCGACGTGACCCTGTTGGATTGACCAGTGACAGGGAGAGATCGACGATGATCTCATTCCTCTCAAAAGACTTCGATGAGCTTGAAGAACAGCTGAAACCCCACAATAATGACAGTACGTCTTCGACTTCTTTCTAATTTACGAGATATTAATTGGACTAGGCATTACCGACCTGTACCTCCGTGCCTCGAATCTTCATCTACATCTTTCCGCTTTCTTTGACGACCCAGATACGAAGGATTATCGTGAGCGTCTGTTATCCCTCTATGTCGCGACCACTTCATTCCTCGAAGGTGCCATGAATCTTGAGACCGAAGTTGGACCTGTTCTTTCTTATACCCCTTATTACGTCTACCAGATGATGGTTGCAGGAGGCTGCACACTTCTGAAATTGTCCAAGAGTTTCTTCGCGGCTCACATTGATATGGAGTACACCAAACACCTTTTCAATCGAACCATTTGGGCAATTCGGGGAGTGTCTGTGTCGAGCAATGACCTGCCTGAACGGTTGGCCGAAGTACTCGCACAGATGTGGAGGTTGGGAAGTGGGCCTCAGCGGTCCACGAGCAACAATGCCGATATCGATGATTCTTTGCGACTGAAAGTCCGTTGCCGCATGAGCATGTCGCTACTCTTCGACTCCGTATGGCGATGGCGTGAAGATACGCGGACAAAGGGACGCAATATTGAAGGTCAGTATTCGTCGTGCTTTATTCCAGAATTGGTGCTGATATCTGCCATAGCCTACCTGAAGAACCCGACCAACCCAGACTCGGCAGCCGATTCATCCGCCGCCTCATCCGTCGGTCCTGTCCGCGCCTCCTCCTCGACCCCCGGCATCACAGGCGGCGACCCGAGCCTTGCTCCGGCACCAATGCTCCCCCAAGCCAGTCTTGGAGTTCAAGCATCAGGAAACGGGGTCGGCGGGCTCCCAAGTGGGTTCATGGAACCGAACTACGAAGTGTTCGATCCACTCAATTGGCTGCTGGATGGCCTGGTCGATCTGCCCTACTCGTATTCAACGATGGGTGGGGTGGAGACCCAAGGCATTGCATAGTGTCGGCCGAAGTAACTGTTTATGGATTTATGTTGGCGTTCTTGTCAGTGCTCGTGCGGGCGTAGTGGTGCGGCCGTCTCTGTTGTATCATTATACCATTCGCGTGTGATACCTTCCAGGCGTTTTGTTATTGGGGGTTTGATTAGTGTGTCTGCGTACTATTCAATCTGTTGTGTCATTATGTTAAGGCCTTTATTCCCGTGCAGCACTTTTCTGCAGTAGATATCATTTACTTCTCGTCGCCTTGGCTATCCATCACGCAGTTAATATCTCTGATAGGGCTTAATCCTTTTCCCTGGAATTTGGGCTGATGCTGGTGGCTGCTTTCTATAATACATTCTCCCAATCTCTTTCTTGCTCTTTCCTTATCTAGGGCTATCTTTACAGCCCTGCACATGCGTAGGGGTTTTCCCACTTACCTCCCTGCTTCTTACTTTCCTTTCTGTGGCCTATCATGTATTCTTACTTGCTATTGACGGTTGACTCCCACCTGGGATCGGGAAGAGGCATGGTGGTTGGATCGTATTGGACTGATGGCGCTGGCTCCTGCACGCTCACGATCATCCTTGGGTTTGTGTTGGTCCTGGGCTTGGTGGCAGCTACTGCGTTGGTGGTAAACTCGAAGCGCCTGTCTAATGTCAGTCATTCTTCTTGTTTCATATCTGCGCAGTTCAAGGCACCGGACATTCTGATGAAAGGACATCCCCACCATCCTGCTAACCCATTTCGTCCCATTTTATAGGCCGGTATCCCATTTGCCGCGGGCAAGAGTGCCCTGGCAACCCTGTACCAACACTACCGCTTCGTCATTGACGGACCAGGCCTGATCAAACGCGGCTATGCGCGTTTTTCCAACTCGCTGTTCGAGATCCCACGCACCTTTCGCTTCGGGCAAATCATTCTCTGCAGTCCCAAGCTGATCGAAGAACTCAAGAATACGCGGAGTGCAGTGGCTTCGCCAGAGCCGTGGATTGACCAGGTAAGCAAACGGGCTACTCTACTTGCGTGCCTCTGGCGAACGTAGTCACTAAATTCATAACGCTGTCACCAGCTTCTCCAAATCTCACATGTCATGCCGGGATACTTCCCCAAGGGAGGCGGATGGCCTGCCATTGCCAAAACTACGCCGGGGCTCATTCGAGGCACGGTGTACAAGCAGCTGGACCGGTACATGCCCTCGATGACCGAGGCGATCCTCTCTCAGTTTCGTACACTGGAGTTCAAGAATGGTGGTACGTCTGCCAATATAGAGATGAGTCTCGGTCTCGCTAATACCAACCCAGAATGTGCCATCAACTGCTTTGACTTTGCGTACTCGATTGTCGCACGAAGCGGCAGTTTCGCCCTGGTTGGTGAACGTCTCTCGCAGAACGAGGAGTACCTCAAGGCTGTCAAGGAGCATATCCTCGGGATGATAATGACGACTCGTGTGCAGTTTCTGGTCCCAGATTGCCTGAAACGGTGAGATTGCATGCGCCGTGCTCTGTGTCCGCTTAGAAGCTGACGTCGGAGTGGCACGATCGCGCAGATATATTGGCGGGTTCGTTAGTCGCCTGTCTACTTTGGGAACGCGCTGGGATATGCGTGCATCACGCCGCATACTGCTTAAGCACTTCAATGCGCGGGCTGCCGAGTATGATGGTGAGATGGTCACTGGATTTGACCCGGATAACCAGGAAGTTAGTACCGAGAGCGCAGACAAGCCGGTACGATCTCACATACGCACCGTCCAAACATGCGAAGATACTGAACAGATCATGTCTAGGTCGAGATCTTCCGCTGGCTGTACGAGAGCTCCGTTCTGCGCCAGCGATGGAGTTACTCGGAGGTCATTGGCGAGATGCTCCTGCTGCAGTTTGCCTTCATCTACACGACAGCCTATGTAAGGGCACCCCACTCATCCCGAGAAAGACCATATCAAAATAATAACTGACAGCCCCCAGGCTCTTTATGGCGCACTGGCCGAGCTCGCCCGACGCCCAGAATACATCGCACCCCTGCGCGGCGAGATCGAGGCCATGTTCAGTGACGGCGCCAGTGTCTCAGCGTGTAATCGAATGAAACTGTTGGATTCTTTCCTGAAAGAGTGTCAGCGGCTGCATCCACCTGCAGCCGGTATGTGATGTGGCGCCTTTCCATACAGAGGGCGTACTGTGTACAGAAAGACTAACAGCGCATTGCAGTGTCGGCCCATCGAGTCTGCGTCAAGCCACTGGAGCTATCCAACGGTATGAACACATCCTATTTTGGAGAAAAAAGAATGCATCCACTAACCTGCTACAATATGAAATAGGAATCACCCTCCAGCGAGGAACCCACGTCGGGGTCCCCAGCGCCGTCATCCAGCGCTCGAGCACCCACTACGCCAACCCGGAGTCCTTCGATGGCTTCCGGTTCGCAAAGTGCGCCGCGGCTGGCGCGCAGAATACAGGGCTCGTGGATCTGAGCCCGGACTACCTCGTCTTCGGGATGGGTGTGCATGCCTGGTGAGATTTTGTTTTGTTTCCCCTTCCCACATATTTGGATTTCAATCCCAACTGCTTTTCTCTCTCTCTCCTCTTCCTTTCGTCACTGTTGTCATCGGCTGACTTGTTTTGCTTTTCTTTGTGCCGTCTAGTCCCGGTAGGTGGATGGCTAGTGCTCTAATGAAAGTTGTCTTTGCGCATCTGCTTATCAACTACGATGTCCTCACGCCGGATGATGCCAGTGGCTCGTTGACGGGTTCGCTTTCGTTCGAGGAGTTTTACGTGCCGAATTTCGGCTTGCAGGTTGTGTTGCGGGAGAGGAAGAAATGAGCTAAACAGAAAAAAAGGCGAAGAAGAGGCTGTTAACCGGAATAGTTCTGGAATCTACATTGTTCATCATGTCTGTCGAGTTGATAAGCGATAAGACCGACTGACCTCATCCCATCCATCCCACTCTTCTCTTCTAGACTAGCTAAACTCTTCTCTTCCTATACAAGGTATCTATATACATCTACAAAGAAACAAGAATGTCCTCCAAAAAACCACCACCAACTCACTCCCGACCCCTCTCAACCCTTCTCATCCCCAAGAAACGCAGTCTCCTCCCACCTACATCAACAACACGCCTCTCCGGTACCCACCATCAGCACGTGAAGCGAATCCTCAACCCCAGTGCGGTAGCAGCCTCAATACGAACCAAGGGCGCACACCGGGATTATACAAGCAGCCACGAAGACAGGGAGCAAGAGGCCCTAGAAGAGGAACAAGACCCCAAACCCCCCCGCATCGAAGTCTCCTTCTCCGCCATCCCGCAGCCCTTCCTCGATCTGCCGCTGTGGGAATCGATACTAAGAACGCGGTGGGCGAAGGCAGCGACGCAGTCTAGATCTACGGATGAAGGGCGCGGGGGTGAGGCTGGAGAGGAAGGAGAAGAAGAGGATACGAGCGAGTCTGGGGCGACAGGGCCGGAAACCGGGGAGGAGAGGAGGCGGAGACGGGAGAGGGAGGTTGAGTATGGGAGTATGGCGATTCGGGGACGGTCGAGTTTAAGGGGGAGAGGGAGGAGGAGAGGGAGAGGAGGAGGTGACGGGGGAGTGTATTGGGGTGGAAGGCGTTGACCTACATCCATGTCTACAAGATTATGAATGATGATATTTATAGAAAATGTCAAGGCTGAATTGCAGAACCAGGCTTATGGTACACCTGAAAGCCAAGGAAACAAAACAGAAACAAAAACACAAAAAACCAATGCAGCAATAATATCAACGCGGTGTAGGTGAGATTCCAATCATCATTCAGTTCATAAGTATCGTACCGTGCTTTCGTAAGTCATGGTCGTGGATGTCGTATTGCAAAAAAAACAGGCAAAAGGTGAAATGTAAAAAAGGGCATAGATAAAAGCCCAGATGCATCATCATAGACATCGTCAAAGCGTGGCGAAACATATCCAATCAGAAGTAGACGCAGTCGAGGGGTATAGTTAAAACGTGGCTGGATAAGAGTGAGCAGTAGGATAAGAAAATCAGCTCGCGACCACGCCATGGGTAGCGCTGGAGGCCACATAAACGGGTCCGCCAATGCTCTGTTTAAGGGTCTCCCTCCGGGCTGCTCGCTTGCGCTCCTCTCGTCGTTGGCGAACGCGCCGCAGGCGACTACGCATGTTACGCAGGGACATTGCTCGCAGCCGGAGGCCCCAGCGAGACAGGGCTCGGTAGCGATGCTGATATAGCGGGGATCCAGTACGGAGAATCTTGCGATCGGCCAAACTGCCCCGGCTGGCATTGTGATGGAGCTGGAGAGTCGACGACATGCCGTCAAAAAGCCGTCTCATTTCGGGGCTGCGGCGTGCCAGAGAAGGTGGACCGTCAATGACGACCCGATATTGCGGCAGACCCAACGAGTTGTTGATAATCAGGCCTTCGTCGGTGTTTGGGGTATCCCGCTGACCGGACGAGTCCTCCTTCTTCGGAGAACCAGGGACGTTTTCCCAGAAACCACGCGGCCGCCAAAATGGATGGAGCTTGCTGTCTATCTCCATGCCCGATTTTCGGTTCTTGGCTGACTTCATGGAAAAAGACCGCGCCAGGGTGTTGAAGGAATCCGAACGAGGCCGAGTATTGCCCAAGGTCTGACGAACCGAGTTCCATCGCCGTCCCAGAGGTCCATCGCTGTTCTGGCTGGTCTCCTTCCCCGGCAGGGGAAGTGGTGGGAGAGGCTTGCCGGTTGGGGGTTTAGGTGGCGGCCGAGGGTTTCTCAGTGGAGATTCCACGTGTGCGGTCCCTTGAATGAGGCGATCTGGTGTCGTGTTTCCGCGAGTTGGTTGCAGTCCCAGTCCATGTAGCCCGCGTGGCTGCGCCTGCCCTCGAGGGTCGACCAAAAGGAGGGAGTGATTGTTATGAGCAAATAGGCTGATAGCGGTGGCCTCCTGGATCTCTATCGGACCCGGCGACGACGAGGGGATCGAGCTCGGTGTGAAGGGCAAAGAAGGAGGTTGGAGCAAGTCATCAGAACTGATGATCACCGCCTGCAAATTGGGCGGTTCCAGCAAAACGGGCGCCTTCGCACCTAGAACATTGTTCCGGGGAGGTGACACGGGCTGCTGCTGCTGACGTTGCTTTTGCATCTCCAGATCCATGGCCAATGTATGACTTCGCAGGCTCGCTGACGTCAGGGATGTAGCGCGGGAATTATTTTGACTCGTTGGCGCAGAAAGGGATGAGCTGCGAGGAGGGATGATAGGTCGGCTGGATCGTCGACCTCGAGCATCCGTCGTCTCCTGAGACCGGGTAGAAACCGAATCGGACATGGTTCGTTTCTTCTTTTTCCATGGCGCATCTATGGAGCTAGCAGGCCCGGTTGGAGGATGTTGACTGGACCGTCGAGAGCCGGGCTTGGAAGACACATGGCTGTTGGGGGCCGACTGCAAGGACGAGCGCCTTTCAGGCACGACAACCACCGGAATGATCTCGACATTTGGGTGCAGCGCACTCGTGGTAGTCTTGGTGGAGAAAGAGATGTCGGAAGACACGCTTCGGCGATCCTGGTCTGAGATTCGGGCGGCCTTGTGGATGAGGCGATGTTGCGATTCAGAGCTCGACACCACGGATGTACGCTCAGACCTCGTGATGGGGGAACTGGCGGAGCGCAGAGAGTTCCTCTTCTCCGTGTGTCGCAGCGTCCGCTTGGCGCGTTTGGGGGAGTCAATGATCATCACCTCGACCGTAGACGTGCTGGAAACTCCTGAAAACCGACGGGTGTCGGCATTGTCGCTCTGCGAGGGCGTGATATCGGAGGAAGGCCAACCGATATCTTCGCGGAATCGTTCCATGGAGACGCTCGCAGCGACATCACGCGAGTGGACCCGATCGCGTAGAGTCTTTGCTTTCATCAAAGAGGCGTCGAGATGCTCTACATCCAGCGCATCATCGTGGTCGAGGTCCGACTTGCGACCCGATCGATGACGGTCCTCACCGGGCTTGCCCGTTCTCGCCCGTGGGGTTGGGGAGTCTTCTTTCTGACTGGTCCCCCAATCTCCATCAAAGGACTCGAAGCCGGTTTCATATTCTGTCTCGCTGACGTGTTGTGAGCCCGAGGATGGTGTTTCTTTGGCGCTCGCCCCGTTTGCATGGATTCCATTTAGGCCATTCGATTTCAAATGTACACCGTGTTTGGGTTTCCGTGACATGGGTCGAGATGAACGGACAGGAGTCTCCATGTCTGTATCCGATGACATGCTCTCACGGGCTGTTTGGAATGACTCCGCGCGAGAGGAGGAGGAAAGATCGATGCATTGGTTAAGGGGCGGTCGCTTAGTCGAATTTGTCCGAGGCGGCGTCACATCGGGGGTTGGCGGTTTGGAAGGATGGCGAGGAGTCAACATGCCTCCCGTCTGAGCGTCCAGCAAAGAGGAATCCGGCTTTCGAGGCGTGGGCTCGTCACTCGCAGCGAGGTCTCCTTGGCCGATGCCGGGAGGAGTCAAAGGAAGCGCCGGCGCCCGCGTGAGGTGATCCGGAGAGGCCGGTTGGATGATTTCAATGTTGGGAACGACAACACCCCGCCGCGGTAGAGCCTTGTGAGACCGAAGCAGCGGTCGTTCCAGTACTTGCGAATCCATCACCGTACTCATGACTTCCAGACCTGGCATGGTCTGCGCAATGGCACCAGCGAATGTTATTTACGGTCGCTCTCCGTAGACGGTTGTCGTTGAAAAGTCGGCGCTCACTTCTTCATGCGACGGTCGGACCCGAGGTCGCATCGCGAGTTGAGGGCAGCAGTGATGGTCCAGCAAGATGCGCGACCGTCGGCGGTGGAGGGAAAACAAAGGTGTCTCTTTCGGGATAGGCGATTAGATTGCCAGGGGACTTTGTCTCGGTCGCATGCAAGGGAGTCGATCGTATGTAGGTGATGTACAGTACAGCACCCGACCACGGTGCAGCGACTCAGCGATTCGATATGTACAGATGCCAGTCTTGCATTCCCCTGTGTGCGATGGTGTGTGAGTTGGAAGGATGCCGTGCCACTTAGGGGGAGGGGTCTGAGGGGGCCCGGTCGGTGGTGTGGCTGGGCTGGAAGGCCGTCAAAGTCGTGGGCGCACTCCCCGGAATATCTCCAGACGGTGAGAGAGGATAGCGGCACCCATCAGCGAAGAGGGCATCGAAGGGGAGGGAGAGGAGATGGAAAGAGACAGAAGATGAAAAGGAGACGAGTGAAGAATGATGGGGTCCAAGGTCACCATAGCGTGTGTGTGTGGCCCCTGCTCATCACCAGCCTCTTCCCTTTTCTTTCATTTCTTTCTTTAACATCCCCCCATCATCATCACATCTACATCGACATCGACATCCACAAACCCACTTAGTATCTCCATCGAGGCCACTGGTCCATGTGGGGAAGTCCAGATCCAAATCTCGCGTTCCTGAACGGGCGGCGGGTTGTTTCAGCTCCTTACTGACTTGTTTGTCTCGCGGGCATTCTTGGCTCCAACGGTTACTACAACAAGGTTCGGGACCGGGCATTATTACCAACCTGTGGCGGGATGACGATATCGACCTCCACAGGAACCAAGGATATCCCGGGCAAGATCAATAGAATCATCGAGACAGGCTTTGGAAAGACGTAGAAGATCGAGCCCTAGGAACCCTAGCCGGCGTGGTCAATCGTAAGAATGGTCAAGCCAATCCTCGAGGTACTAGAATATGCATAATCCACCATCCACGGATGCGTCTCCAAGTTAATCTAATCAGTGATATGGAGGGGAGCGTCAGTGGCGGGGACTTGGCGTCATGCCCGAACAGGATTCGGCGCCGTGGCCATCCCGCAACAACGATGACATCGCCCACCCGTCGTCATCCTCGCACTCACTCCACCAGGCCCTGACCTCATCCCTTCTTCTTCCTCTTCCTCTTTCCCATTGCTCATCCCCCAGGCCAGTTTAGCTTTCTTTAGACTCCCCCTCCTTCCCCCTCCTCCTCTTCCCCTCCTCCTTCCTTTTCCTTCCAACTCCCCTGGCTTAATCATGAGCACCATACAAAATATCAAGAATTTCATCCGTCACGGCAAACAGGCCCGCCTCGTGACGCCGCACGCCGAACCCACCACCGACATTTCCACGATCCACGCTGAGCAAGAGCCACAACCCCAAGGCCTGTACACCCCCGATTTCGCCAATCTGGATACCACGGAGACCCGACAGGATGGCCCAACGGCGGCCCAGAAAGCCGCCGAGGCGCAGACCAAGCGGGAGCGTGCCGCGGAGATTGAACGGCTCGTCACAGAGGAGCGCGTGAACCGATCCAAGATGCCCAAATACCCCGGCCTGGAGCGCTGGATCTTGCTGGAAAAGATGGGCGATGGCGCCTTCAGCAATGTCTACCGTGCCAAGGATTCCACCACGGAGTACGATGAGGTCGCGATCAAGGTCGTGCGGAAATTCGAGATGAACAGCAATCAGGTACGGATGCAGTTCTTTTTTTTCCCTTTTGTTCTGTCCTCCTGCGGCTTTTGTCCTGGCGCCTACGCGACTCCATTTGTGGAGTAGCCGTGAAATAATCGCCAATCCTTTTCTGTTCTATGTAGTCCGACCATCTCCATCCCAGTGTGAAGGTCCCTCGGGCTGCAGAGGTGCGCAACTTTCTTTTTCACACGCACTCCACGTGCTCTGTGGCAGTCGAGATTCGTCTGACTGCCATATTTTTTGGGGTTTTTTGGGTTCCTTGCTTGTTCAAGATGACTGGGGTCCGTGAACATGGCTGACTTGTGACCTTTTTTCAGAGAGCGAACATCCTCAAGGAAGTTCAAATCATGCGCAATCTCGACCATCCGAACATCGTGAAGCTAATAAACTTCTCCGAATCCCGACAATACTACTACATCATTCTCGAACTCTGCCCGGGTGGCGAACTATTCCACCAGATCGTGCGGTTAACATATTTCAGCGAGGATCTTAGTCGGCATGTGATCGTACAGGTGGCTAAGGCGATTGAATATCTACACGAGACGTCAGGCGTCGTTCACCGGTTCGTGTTTTCTTTCCCTCTGAGATGCTTGCCAGCTAACCGCATCACAGAGACATTAAGCCAGAGAACCTACTCTTTTACCCAACCCCCTTTGTTCCCAGCAAAAACCCTAAGCCTGTCCAGCCGGGTGATGAGGACAAGGAGGACGAAGGGGAATTTACCGCCGGTGTTGGCTCAGGAGGCATTGGCAAGATTAAGATTGCAGACTTTGGCCTCTCCAAGGTGATTTGGGATAGCCAAACAATGACTCCATGCGGTACCGTCGGTTATACCGCGCCGGAGATTGTGAAGGATGAGCGGTATTCGAAGAGTGTGGATATGTGGGCCATGGGCTGTGTCCTGTACACGCTTCTATGTGGTTTCCCACCATTCTACGACGAGAGCATCCAGGTTCTCACGGAGAAGGTGGCCCGGGGCCAGTATACCTTCCTGTCGCCCTGGTGGGATGACATTTCCAAGTCCGCACAAGACTTGATCTCACACCTGCTCACCGTGGACCCCGAGAAGCGCTATTCGATTAAGGAGTTCCTTGCACACCCCTGGATCCGGGAGACGGACGAGGAGACAACCCCTGCGGCAGATGCACCCCCGCTTGCAACCCCTTATGGCCCCGTCCGCCAAAAGGGCCCGGCACAACTCGACCCAACCGGTGCGGACCAGGCTCCGTACCTCCCTGCCAGTGCCCGTTTCCTCGATCAACCCTCCACAGCCTCAGAACGTCGGATGGACTTCCGCTCCCCTGGCGCATTCAACCTCCGCGAAGTTTTCGATGTTGGATACGCAGTTCACCGACAAGAGGAAGAAGCAAAGCGGCGCAAGAATGCCGCCAAAGGATTTCGGAGTGGAACAGCAGGGTTTCAGTCAGCGCTTGATTCTCTCAATGAAGACTACGGCGACGAGCCACTCGCATACCGGCCGCGGACAGACGAAAACACAGAGCCACCCACCAAGATCGCTAAAGCAACTGCGCCCCAACAAGGCGGCGATATGGCAGGAATGGAGGCCAAGCTACGCTCTACAAACCTAGGGCCACAGGGTTCCGCTTCCCAGGCACGACAGGCACCCCGTCAGCCTAAACAGCAGGGATACGGACAACACGACGCCAACGTTGCCGCAGCGGCCCGGAACACCATCGGTCGCAAACCTGCCGAGCCCTTCGAACTTAGTCTCGACAACGCCAGTTTGTTAGAGAAGCGCGGACGGCGCCATGAAGAACCGGTGGCTTGAACATGAAGCATGATTCGAACTCGCCAAATATACACTCGCGACGACGTTCTACTACTACCTTCCGAGCACCACATACATGTCTATTGCACGAGCGATATGTTACATTGTTTTTTGCTTTACCCCCTCTGTCATTCTAGGTTTCATATCTACAAGCACACACGTTGCCTATTCTCCCTTCTCCTTTTTTCTTTCTTCTTAGCACGGTGCGTTTTTCGGGTCTCCGGCGAAGAATCATGCATGGTTGCAAAATGGATTGGGGAAAAGGGTTTCCATCTTGTTTTCTGTCATACCAGTCCATTCGAATTTCTTTTTTTCCTTCTTACTCGATTATCGTTAAGAGTGGGCGTTCTGAATGAATCGATAGGGTTCTTTTTTTCTGTTTGCTTAGCACCGCATACTGTTCAAAATTCTCACTTGCTTCCATCCATCCTATCTGTATTTTGTCTTTTTCGCTCTCGGTTGATCGAACGTCTTCTAGTCGATCTTCCATGCGTAGGGCTCAGTAGAGGTTCAATGCATATGTATGTTTTTGAGTTTGAGTGCTCTGTTGAATCGGTTTTCAGTACTGTTTTGAGTTCCCACATAGCCTAAAATGTCAAGTCTCCTTGAGATGATGATTAGGGGGTGCGGTTCAAAATGGGATTTCTTGATATTTACATTGACTTCGTTTCTTTGTATGATCTAATTTAAGAGGAAAAGTTGGTTCAACAAAAGCCATGGTATCAATTCGGCCGATCTATTTGACAAGCACTGATTTGGGAGAGACGCGAAGAACGCGCAGGAACATAATTACTAGTATAGTATAGAAGCAGACTAAGCCTGAATATATTAGTCCAACACAGGGTTGTCAAAAACGAATGTTGTCGACCAAAATATGCGCAAAATGTACCGTTAGGCCTCCAAGTGCCAATGACAGAATTTCAGCTCTGAACGGTAATTTCCACGGTTGACAAGTGCCCTGCCACTATACTAAACGGTGGTCTCAACCTCGACCTTTTCACTAGTAGCCTCGGGCTTTTCCTCTGCAACAGCGTCACTCTCACCCAGTAAGCCCAGTTCGGTGTAGATTTGGAGGAGACGGTTGCGGTCCTCAAGGGCATTTCCGGCCTCATCACCAAAGACTTCGTCCATCTCCTCAAGGGTGAGATTCTTGGTCTCGGGGACAACAAAGTATATGAAGAGTGCGCCGATGAAGCAGATCAGGCCGAAGAAGATGAAGGTACCGTAGCCCATGGATGCGACCATGTCGGGTGTGGCTTGGCCGATCTGGTCGTTGTTAGTACTCAGAAACAGGAAATGGAATATAGGGGAAATATCTTACAGCAAAGTTATTGAGCCAGTTGGACGAAGCACCAATGGAAATACCCTTGGCGCGCACTCCAAGCGGGAAGACCTCCGCAACAACGACCCAAGCGCCGGGCTGCAGTAATGATAGGTGTCAGTATATGTTTCGGTCTCGCAGGGACATGTGTGTAGGAATTGACTTACACCCCAGGAGTAGCCAAAGTTGACCTCATAAAGCCACACCATGACAACGGCAGCCCAGCCAGCGGCTCCGGATTTGCCTACATGCCAATCAGCGGCGTAGGTTCCCATCAAACCGGCCACAATGATGTGACAAACACCCATCCCAACAGCACCGGCAATCAGGACAGGCTTACGCCCAAACTGATCAATGTACAGAACGGCAGGGATGGTAGCAAGGAACATAAGGATACCGCCGACACCACTAGCAAGCAGCGATGTGGTGTTACCCGTGAGACCAAGATCCTGGAAGATAAACTACGAACAAATTAGCACAGCCCCGGGCAATCTTGTCAAGGGAAGGGAGGTAATTACAGCCGCATAGTAGAGGATGGCGTTGACTCCAGTCCCTGTGAAAAGAATAATATTAGCCACTGAGTCTATGGATGTCGGGGTAAACACGTACATTGCTGGAAAACCATAATGAACACCGCAACGACAACTCGCTTGAAGAGGGACGGATTCGTCAGGAGGCTGAGATATTCATGGAATCCTAGTTTAATCTGGTTCATAACGCCAGGGGCGTGATACTGAGGGAAGCGAGCCTTCGAAGTCTCGACTTCAAAGCGATGCTGCGCCTTCACCTCCAGGAATTCCAGCTGGACCAGTTCGTGGTCGGCAGGCAGACGTCGAATCTTGGAAATGACAGCCAGACATTCCTCCTCTCGTCCCTCCGTCATGAGCCAACGGGGACTGGGAGGCATGAACAAGATACCAACACCGAGTCCGATCGCGGGAAGCATCTGAATGCAAATTGGAACCAACCAAGCAGCGTTGGACTGGCCAGCGCCGGTGCCTCCGATGTAGTTTGTTCCGTATCCTACAAAGATATCAGCGACCAGCTTGGAAGATTGCGATTTGGTAGCTAGCTTACCGATCCAGTATGAGACCATGATTCCGAAAGTGATCGCAAGTTGCTGAAGCGACACCAGAGATCCTCTCAGTTCTGCAGGGGCCAGTTCCGCGTTGTACCTAGAGGAGAAATTAGCGCAGTATTGGAAGCAGTACGCCACGGTAGGGCCTTACAGTGGCACAATCATAGACAGGGTGCCGACACCCATACCAGTCACAAAGCGACCACCGAAGATGTAGGACGGGCCCTTAGCACATGCTTGAACGATAACGCCGAGGAGGAAGACGACGACACCGCTAACGGTCGCCAACTTACGTCCAAGGCGATCAGCGAGGATACCGTTGATGAGGACGCCGACCCAAGCACCAAGTTCAAGAATACTATTCACTTGTCAGTCAACTGAATGGCGATTATGACACAGAGTCCATGGGTATTTGGTACGCACGCCGTCAAAAGTCCTCTTATAGTCGTATTGTTGATGGAATTAGGATGCACTGTCTCAGAGAAGGAAGTCATGTTCAAGATTTGGCCAAACATTCCTTGATTGTCTTCGGTCTTCGATTAGCACGGAAAATGGCACTCGAATAACTCCCAAACAAAAAGAACTCACAGCCATAGACGAAACCGCCAAGAGAGGCGAACACTGCGATGGCGAAAATCTTAAGATTCGAAAGCAGACCCTTGACTCCAGACGGCCCAGCGAGCTGGGCACGCCTGGAGGAGAGAGCATTATGTCCTGAAGCAGTTGCTGCGACCATTTTGAACTGACAGATGGTCCGGGCGGATGCATCTTGAGCTCGGCAGCCCTTAGCATTTATAGACTCCCCCTGATTTCTGTGTCGCTTCCCCCACGGAGGTAATTGTGGGGGAAGCGACACAGAAAGCACCAGTCAGACGCGTTTCAGCATGCAATCTGCCTAAATAGCTTGCTAGCTAACCTAAGGATAAATTTTTGACTTTCGGGGCAGCCATTACGGCTTAGTGGCTGGCTATTCCGGCAACGCTTGCTACGTGGATAATATTACGCGGGGTGGTCCCGCAGTCCGATTGGACGCCATGGGCGCGTGACTAGTACAAATTGACGGGCAAGTACCATCAGCCATGGGTACTAGAGAATCCTTGAGTTGCTTAGGGCTTTTCTTGGCCGACTAGCAGCGCATTGAGGCTGAATGTGCAAATAGCCGTGTAATGTAATATCGCAGGTCGCTGCTCGATAATCCAGGGACACAACTTCGCAATAAGTCTCTACTAGCATACGAACACCCTCCATGTGTCGTGCGTGCAGGTGCAGGTCCCGGAGGATTCCTTAATAGGGCAAAAGCCGACCCTTATGCGGAGGCGGGGAAAGAAAATACTGACGGGTGAAAACGCACCTGACTTTTCCTATTAAATCCGAGGACCGAAGAAAAAAAAAACAAGACAGGGCAAATGATGGCAGTCCACGGGTTAAACAACGTCCTCTACGTAGTATTTTATTAGCACAAAACAAAAAACACCTCTAGAGACATTCTAGGCATTTATCAAGGTGGCTAATGATGGCAAAGGCTATTAGATTGCCTACGACTATGCGTCTCTCAAAGTTATCTGACAGAATTAATCCTCCAATGAAGAAAACGACATCTGAAAAAGAGACTTTATTCGATTTGTCTTCGAACGTGGGGAAGGACTGAACGTTAAGACCCACCGTGTGTTTCCCAGCCCCGATCTTGACGATCAGGATCTGCTCAAACGGTCCGATCAAACCAGAAATCGTGTCTTGACCCACGAGCGATCGTCAGCGTTGAAATTCTCGCACATCAGGAAAAGTAAATCCATTTCACGGAATCGACAAAGTCGCCCACTTATTGATGGCACCTATGGATGTATCTGATGACAACGATGACGAGGTCTTCACCGTCTATAATTTAGACACTGGGTTAGAATTGGGTCTCGATGCATTGCCCATCTCCACGCTTTAATTGTCAATTCGAGAGGAGTGTTCCTGTCGAACAAAACCAAACAATTTAAGAGGGAATTACAAATAGCCCCAGCGTCCTATGCTCAGGTCGCCCTCGGTGACGCTTGATTTTACTTAGGGAGCGAAAAGCGGCATGGGGTGAGCACTAAAAGGGAAAAGGAAGATCCAAGACGTAATGGTAATTTCATTCCGCGCATATGATCTCTTGGATAAGACAAAAAGGAACAAGTATAAAACAGGATATACAACAGTGAACCCTCAAGGCAAACTCTATATACACCCCCTTCTTCGCGCCTTTCTCGCTCATGCTGTACAGAAGGCGCCGGGCCATTTCTGTCGAGCCGGGAGGGGGAGGGTTGTGATCCTCGAGCGCAACAAGGCTGGCTCAATGGCAAAGCTGCCACTGCTGCTCCTCTCGAGATCTGGTGGTGCAGCGTCGAACAGCTGTTTCGGGTCTCGCGTCAGAAGGATATGGATTGTGCCATATGACAATGCACAGAAGTAAAGTGGTCGAAAAAGACCACTGCATCTGCCACCCTTCACAGAGTTTGCTTGCCGCGGGTCTCGATGGGGAGGAGACACATAGCCACGAAAGCCGCAAGCATCAGCGCACCCGAGGCGTAGATGGGTGAGTTGGGGTTGCCCGAGCCAGCGTATATGGCGACGATCGGCGCGCAGAGGCCTGCAATGCGGTTCAAGCAGCTGGCAATACCGGTGCCGGTACCGCGGTTGGGGGCCGGGAAGACTTCGGGGGTATAGGCGTAGAGAACACCGTACATGATGTTCTGGAAGAACATCTCGAGACAGCTGCAGACGAGCTGGACGTTGGAGTCCGAGGACGCGGTGAAGCAGAACAGCAGTACGCCAGTGATCAGAGTCGAAATAGCCATTGTACCCTTGCGACCGATGTACTTGATCTCGACAGTGTAGCAGGCCAAAATCGAGCCCGGCACGCCCACGATCGAGGTGATAGCGTAGTTGCGGTACTCGGTGTAGGTCGAGGTGTCTCCGGAGCCGTTGTTCTTCAGGTACTGTGGCAGGAAGGCGTTGAAAAGCGGGTAGCCCATACCAATGGTGGCCCAGCAGAACCAGAGCAGAACGGTGGTGAAACCCAGTCGCTTGGTGGCAAAGAGAGGGCGGATGCGCTCGAGAGAGAACTTGGAAAAGAAGCGCTGGATGATCTGGGAGATGGTGAGCTTCTGTTGCTCCTGTTCCTTCTCGTCGGGGTAGCCGCCGATCTCGTTGAGGATCTCGCTGGTCAACCACGTCTTGGACTTGTTCTTGTACGCAATGCCGTGAACGGATGCAACGGCTTCCTCCTGGCGGCCGCGGGACAGCAGGTACTTCGGCGACTCGTACAAGTGGAAGAAAAAGAAGCGCGCAGTGAACATGAGGAAGGTGATGGCACCCAGAGTGAGAACCAGATAGCGCCAGCCCATGTTATCCTCCCTGAGGCAGGGTCCAGTACCAGTGCAGGTGTAAGTTGGGATGAAAGCCCAGGCGAGCAGACTGGAAATCAGCTGGCCAACGGGCCACCAAACACTCAACATAGTCAACATGTTTCCAGAGGCACAGGGCAGGAACTCCAGGAAGAGAGCGCCGTCAACAGGCAGGTTGCCACCCACGCCGAGACCGATACAGGAGAATAGAGCACAGGTTCCAATCCAGTTGGGACCACCGCCCGACGCCAGGCCGAATGTGCCAGCCAGGAACAAGGTGATATTGAAGGCGTAGCGCCGGCCGATGACATCGGAGGCAACACCCCAGAACGAAGCACCGATACACAGACCCAGGAACAAAGCGCAGGTCGTAAAGCGCACCTTCGAGTCATCCACGTTGAACTCCAGCGACAGTTGGGTCAAGGTGAGGGCAACACCCTGTTGTATATGGTCAGATCAACTTTTTCATGCTTCTTTCCAAGTTGACTCACCTGAAGCCAGAGGTTGTCCGCCATCCAACCGCAGCCACAAAGGGCAAACAGTTCCCACTGGTACCGGCCCATGCCGATATCCTGGATGGCTCTGTTGATCACCTTTGCTTTGCCTACAAAATCACCAAATTAGATCACATTCCATACCAAATCACTCTCAGGGACAAAATCAAGGGATAAATCGCGCTTTTCACTCATGGGGAATTTCGAACGATGGGAAGAACCGGAACAAGAGGCACATACGATCATACGCAGAGTCATGGCCCGAAGTAGCGACGTCTGCCTCGACCTCCGCGCGGAGAGTTTCGATGGTCAAATGGCTAGTTTCGGGCTGAGAGCCAGAGGCCGCGCCGTTCTCCGAGGAGGAAGAACGGTCGAGGCTCTTGTCATCGAGGCTGACGTTCTTTTCGTCGACATCGTTGCCGTCAGGGCCGCGATGTGCGGGTGCGTCAGCTAGCGGGATCACAATGCCCGGATAGTTCTGGCGGTCCTTCTTGAACGGGTTAAATTTTGAGATACCCATAGTGACCGACTTTGGGGGGTCAGGGAGACAAAGGCGCTTGGGGTGAAATGGTGGACGGGTTTCGGATCGAATCGCCGGGGGGAATTGCTGCTATCTGCTGCTCTTCGTCGAGGGCAAAGTAGACCGGACCGTTTAGGGCAAGACTACAACTTGGGGTTGTCGAATCCGAAGATGGGCAAAAGATGCAATCGGGACCTAGTTCGGGAACACCGCGCGGGATAGTGCTGCAATTGTGAATCGTCGTACAGGGCAGACTGCTATGGGGGCAGTTGCGGTCGTGGATCGATGTCGGATATGGTTGCAAGAGACGCTACTTGAGAGCGGGACCGTTTTTGCGCAAGTACCTGACGAGCGTGTCTTTTTTCTGTCTGTTTCTCACAAAGAGGATTCAAGGAGAGTAAGCTGCCAGAGAGATATGCCTCGTCCGAGATGGTGTGTGGTGTGTGGGGAAGGAAAGGAAGCACCGGGGGAAAGGGAAGTGAGGGAAGTGGTTTGGAGAAAACGGTGGGCTGTACCGAGCTATATACAATTATTTGCACCGTACGTGATTCCGAGGATGGGTATTGCCTTCCCATTCTTTCTTTTTCATTACACAATAATAACGGCGGTACGGCTCTAAAGTGCGGCAAGGCCGTATTGGCCAAGACGTGCCATAGCGGGCCCACGCAACGGACATCATGACATGCCCCGGTGGGATTAGTCGCGGTCTGTATGTAATCCGGATACATACACTCCTAGCTGTTCCAAGCCATGAACTTTGCACAGTCTCCAAGCCTATTGGGTTCAATTATTCGTCAAAATGAGCAGTCGTGGTGCAGTACCGAGCGGCGGGTCACATCCGAGTAAGGTTGAGGCGCAGGAGCCGCGGACGCCACCCGATTTTAAGGGTGTGTGATGACGCCAAGTCGCTCGCTTCCGCTCGGAACAAGTGGCTGTCGGCCGCCCGACAATGGCCGGATGGGAACAGGGGCGATCGGAAAGGGCCGAGTGGCTTGAGGCTCGAAGCCCTAAACAGGTTCTCCTTGTATTATTGGAGGATCCACAGCGAAAATTTTTGCGGCAAGTCCATTTTCCCAGCAAAATGCCAAGAGTCCCACCGGGGAAGCCTCAATTCAACCCTGTGTTGAGAAAAATAATCATTTGTGAAAGTAAAAATAAAAAATAAAAGATACCAGAATTAGGATTTATGCACTATGACACAATTAACCTTGTGATCACACTGCTCCATGTGGCTCTGAATGAAGTAGCATTCTTTCTGTCGGCGCGGCGAATCCCTTCCGGTTGCGGGATGACTTCGTACCCGAGGGTACGTTGGAGACTCCTCGTTCACCACCGGGCGAATCAGATC